TAAAATTTAACTATTCGACCAAAAAACAATTAGTTAAAAAAAAAAAGCATCTGGATAAAAATGTTGCCCATTTATTTGAGAACACTATAGCAGGCTTTAAAGGCCCATTAGGGACCATTGTATTCTCTAATGACCCATTCAGTACCCAAACCAAGCTAGTCGCTTGATTTAGTAAGTTAATACCGTAATAAATAACAAGCCGATCAAATGCCAAGAAGAGTGAGATAAGCGAAGAGTAAGCAAAGTACACTTGGGAGTTCAGTGGCGGATCTACGGCATGAGTAGGGTGGGCACGTGCCCTACCCTCTCTTTTTTTCAAGTAAATTTGATTGTTATAACTACAATACACCACGTTATTATACAAAGAAAACATTAAAAATGTCTTATTAGCCAACTAAAAAAAAGCAAATGTCTCCTTAGCCTACATAAATGCTAAGTGAAAACGTTAGTTATGAGATATTAGGTATCGTCGGGCTAAACAAAATTTAAACCATTGTTTAGTTTATTTTGTTAAAACATATTTTTTCAAAATGATAAATGAAATATTAGTGAAAAAATTTCAAAATATAGAAAATAAGATAAATTTATAAAAATAAAACAAAATATTGATGTAAAAAATTGTGCTCCGGGCTAAAATAAGTTCTGGATCCGCCCTTGCAATCACACCGAGCATGTTGTGTTATCAAATAATCATATCGACATCATGGTTAATTCTCAGTACTATATGTCGAGATTAATTATGGATATCGAGCTAGATGCATTACACTATGACATTCAATGACATTAATAGACAACCAAAAAGCTATGAAAGGAGAGGAGGGAGAAGAGTCGAGACAAGGACAACTCTTTTTCTAACTACACGACTACAACTTTTTTGGAGCTTCTTTTTTTTGTTTTTCAAAGTGTAATTCAGTCAGCCTTATCTTAAGTCAACAAGAACAATCTTTCAACATCTCTCGATCTTTTTCTTTGTCCATTCTAGTTTGATTTTGTGTTAATCAAAGAAACTTTGTTCCTGATCTTTTTTTTCATAGTTTAAGTCCATCACAACTGGATTTTATCATCCACATAGATGTAATGTTACTATATTTGCTTCATTAAAAACTTTATAAATAGAATCATAATCAATCTCTTAAACATTCCACTAAAAAAAAAAAAAAGGTTTATATTCTCTTTGTATGTACGATGTGCAATAATTTTATAACCAAAAAAAGTCGACACTAAATTCTTTGTATGCCAACCAGACCGGCCTTGCGGGCTCCATCAGTATAACATGCCGTGGAGAAAGTATCTAAAACCAGTGATAAAGAATGAATTTCATGTCGAATAAGAATAGTCCACATTCAGTTTGACCAATAATAATCCATGGCTTGATTCATGTCTATATCACTATATTGTCAATCTTGTTAAGTGTGTAATACGAGATTATATTAAAAAAAAAAATTATTCATCTTTTCTAGTTCAATCGTGCATCCAGGTTTTGTTTATGGTTTTACTAATTATTCAAATTGCATTTTTCTTTTGGATAACCTGTTTTATACTCTATCGAGAGATTCAGATACTAGTTGATTTAATTAAAAAATAATTTAGACGACTTTTGGAATATGCAGCTAATAAATAATAATAGTAATATAATTGATCCAAGCATCATTAATCATGCAAGATGTAAATACTAAAATCGTTTTTAAAGAAGTAAACTCTTTTCACCATCGCCAAGTACCGTCCGTACATTCAGGTTAGGAGTTTTTTTAATAAAGTATCCATGCTTGTATAAGTATATATATAATGACATAATAAACAAACCAAAAAAAATTTCAACACTAGTTAATAACTGTAAAAGTATCAGATATTCAGTTTTATCATCATGATATTCCATTTGAGGACTAGTATATGTGATTCTGTTTTGTGGTTTCCGTAACAAAAAAAAAAAAAAATCAATACTGTAAAAATTAATACGTAGATGCTTTCGCTTATATAAAGTTTACCAAATATAGAAAGCTTCTGAAGATAATTCTTCTCGGTGGAAACAAATTAAAGGTAAGATCAAAAATAACATGTCTTTAAAATTTATTGTCTATATTCTCAACTGTTTTTGAGAGAGAGTTCATCATAGTCTTGATGAGGTTTCACTGATGTCATATTTGGTATACAAGAGTAAATTGTTTGGTTTTTCCAAATGTTGAAATGTCAAAAGAAAGAGAGGAGAATCTATCTCCCAAGTTAAAGAAGTACTTTCATAGGATTCCAACGAGGTCCAGAGGAGAAGGAGATGCTTTTAGGGACCGCATTGGCGCATTTTTAGGGACCTACAGAATATTCCTCAAGTTTAATCAACCATTTGAATCGTTGATTAGTCCAAATAAACGGCTTACCTATTTCAATATTCTGATGGTTTGTGTTTAAAGAAACGGTGGTTATGAATCTTATCAACAAGTTTTGGAACTTAAGCAAATAAAACCACTAATTTCTAAATATGTTAAGAACAATATAAGAAAAGAATTATATAACACACTTACCAAATTCTCATTTCACTTATTTGATCCAAAACTTTGAAATTAACATCTCACATCCTATTTTAAAGTATTAACACTGAAATATTTTTTTGCTGATTTATTTTAGGAGGTGGTGATGTATATACAATAATTGAAAATTCACAAATAATTGTGAATCTATCAAAATGAATACAATTATATTTAATAGAAATAGATACATAAATCATGGTTTTTAAGAATATAACTGAAAGTGTATGAATATCATCATTATGGTTAAATTTTAATAGGTTTATTTGCATGTCATCTTTATAAAATTCAAAATTCATCTTGAATTTTATAATTCTTTCTTAATAATCTTTGGAAATTCACACAATTAATTGAACGTAAAAAAAGACAATCTAAGATGAAATCTTATCTAAAAAAAATCATTTTTCAAGGCACATTTAACATAAAACGACTATTCATTGATATCATAAATTTTGTTTTTCTCAAAGTATGAGGTAAACATTATAAATAGCAACAAAAAAAAGAGAGGAAAATATGGAGATTATAAATATTTTCAAAACAAAAAGAAAATCGTATTTTTCGAGTTTATCCTTTCATCGAGTTCGATGGCTATCCAACTTAAACATTAAGTTTTCATCTCTTTCACAATGCATATAGTGATATTTTTAAAAGAGAAAAAACAAAATTTATGATATCAATGAGTAGTCGTTTTATGTTAAATGTTCCTTGAAAAATGAAATTTTTTAGATATGAAATTGTCTTAGGTTGTCTTTTTTTAACATTCAATTAACTGTGTGAATTTTCAAAAATTATAGAGAAATAGTTATAAAATTCAAGATGTATTTTGAATTTTATAACGATGACATATAAACCTACTAAAATTTAATCATAATGATATTCAGTTATATCTTTAAAAACCATGATTTGTGTATATATTTCTGTTATATATAATTGTATTCATTTTGATGGATACACAATTATTTGTATGTTGAAATATATATACATTCCAGAAAATAAATAAGCAAAAAAAACAGATTTAAGTGTTAATAGGATACGAGATGTTAATTTCAAAGTTATAGATCAAATCAGTGAAATGAGAATTTGGACGTGTATTTATATGTAGTTCTTAAAAAACCGTATGATCTTTTCTTATGTAGTACTTAACATATATATTGATAATTCTATATTAGTAGTTTTATTTGCTTGAGTTCATAAACTTGTTCATAAGATTCATAAACTGTTTTTGAACACAAACCGTCAAATTGGTCCCTCTTTTTGTTTCTTTGAAGAAAATCATTTCATACAAGCGATATAGACAAAGAATTCAAGAAACAACAAGTTGAGAAGTTTTGTTACACTTTGTTTTAAGAAAAAAAACAAAAAAGAGTAAGACTTTGCCAAAGTTAATGCTTCGAAGACTTTACCTTTGCCATGGTTAAGGAGCCCAAAAGAAGCAACTGATCCCCGAGTCTCAAGTATTGACTTCGAAAACAAATATTAGGGTATATATATATATAGTTGACTTCGAAAACAAATATTAGGGTATATATATATATATATATAAAGTATGGTAATTGATATCTAAATAACTATTATAAGATTTTAAAAGTAAATAGTATGCCAAAAAAATAGTTTGAATACTTATGTTACTACTATTTTGAGTTTTTGCTATTCAAATAAATAAACATTCAATCACAATAACAAAAAGGGAACTAAAAGATTCTAATTAAATTATTGCATCTTATGCAAATATTATATATATGATGATAAAAATGCAAATATTAATTTAGACTTTTTACAAACCACGGAAATAAAACGTAAAGAAACACCAAAAATTATACAGCAAACATCAATACGACAGAAGGCCACAAATAGAAATGAAATTAACGAAAGGAGCTAGCATGCACTAACAGATAAAGACACGAGGAAACCTTCGATGTTGCCACGAGTGATCCGCGATCCAAAACCAATCCTTAATACTTCGGAAAGAGCGGTGCGTACACTCTAAATTAGTTTACAAACCACGTAAATAAAAAGAAACAGAGAAGATCAAAAACTATGCAGCAAACAACAATATGCGTCAGAAAAAGAAATGAAATTAACGAAAGAAGCTAGCATGCTCAGACGGAAGAAGACACGAGGAAACCTTTAATGTTGCCACGAGTGAACCGTGATCCGCACCCAGCTCTTAATACCTCGGAAAGAGCGGTGCTTACACTCTAAATTAGTTATAGTAAAAATTATATATCTAAACTAAAACTAAACACCATACTAAACCAATATATTTTATTTTTAATCTAGAAATTAAAACAGAAAACCTTTATATAAGAATTCTAGGATTGTTTTTTACAACCGCATTAAAAAGAAAAATATAGCATCCAATATCCAAAAAAAAATTATAAAAATGATGACATCAACGCTTCACAAGAACACACATCCATGAAAATGTCAGAACCTTAACACTCTCCTCCTCTATAAATACTCATAACCTCAAACCTGAGATTCCTCATTCCTTAAACCCTAAACATCTAAAATTCTCTGAACCTTCACACAGCTCACAAAAATGGAGGTCGAAGGCAAAGGAGGAGAATCTGGAACCACCACCACCACCACCGCACCCCGGAGATTCGCACTTCCGGTGGATGCCGAGAACAAATCCACAACTTTCCGACTATTCTCACTCGCTAAACCTCACATGAGAGCTTTCCATCTCTCATGGTTTCAATTCTTTTGCTGCTTCGTCTCCACTTTCGCAGCTCCACCTCTCCTCCCTGTCATCCGTGAAAACCTTAACCTCACCGCCACCGACATCGGAAACGCCGGAATCGCCTCTGTTTCCGGCTCTGTTTTCGCTCGTATCGTCATGGGCACGGCGTGTGATCTCTTCGGTCCACGTCTCGCCTCCGCCGCTTTAACCCTCTCCACCGCTCCCGCCGTCTATTTCACCTCCGGGATAAAGTCTCCGATAGGGTTTATCATGGTGAGATTCTTCGCAGGATTCTCTCTCGCCACTTTTGTTTCGACGCAGTTCTGGATGAGCTCTATGTTCTCTGGACCCGTCGTTGGGTCGGCTAACGGAATCGCCGCCGGGTGGGGTAACCTCGGAGGAGGTGCGACGCAGCTGATCATGCCCATCGTGTTCACGTTGATTCGGAATATGGGAGCCACCAAGTTCACGGCGTGGAGGATCGCTTTCTTCATCCCTGGCCTCTTTCAGACTCTCTCTGCTTTCGCCGTTCTCTTGTTCGGTCAGGTAACAAACAATCACACTCACCGGTTCAGTTATTTTGGTTTATCCAATTTATCCGGTTTTGAAAATTTTTGACCGAGAGTTTTTGGTTTTGGTAAAATTTACTTTGTAGTGACAAATCGGTTTAATGATACCGCTTTGGGTTTCGTTTCGGTTCATGTAGTAGAATCTTTTAGTCGGTTACTCATGGTCGAACTTCGTTGGATATGGATAAATAGTGTTTATTACAAGGAACTGAAAAAGGATACATTTATTTTGTCACTAATTTTTTTTATTTTTTAAAAAATTTAAAGGATCTTCCTGATGGAGATTATTGGGCTATGCATAAATCTGGAGAGAAGGAGAAAGATGATGTGGGGAAAGTGATCCATAATGGAGTCAGAAACTATAGGGGATGGATAACAGCATTAGCATATGGCTATTGTTTTGGAGTAGAGCTTACGATTGACAACATCATCGCAGAATATTTCTTCGATAGGTTCCATTTAAAGCTTCAGACAGCTGGGATTATAGCAGCGAGTTTTGGACTGGCCAATTTTTTTGCTAGACCTGGAGGAGGAATTTTCTCTGATCTAATGGCTAGACGTTTTGGCATGAGAGGAAGGTTGTGGGCTTGGTGGATTGTGCAAACACTAGGAGGTGTGTTATGCGCATTTCTTGGCATGATTTCTTCTTTGACATGGTCTATAGTTGTTATGCTCATCTTCTCTGTCTTCGTCCAAGCCGCTTGTGGACTTACCTTTGGCGTTGTTCCTTTTATTTCCAGAAGGTATAAAATCATTGCATATATTTTGGTATTGAATTGTTTGATTGGGTTATATATTATCCAACAATTTTTCTCACAAAAATGTTTTTTGTTTTGGTTATGTAGATCTCTTGGGGTGATATCGGGAATGACTGGTGCGGGAGGCAACGTAGGTGCGGTCTTAACGCAGTTGATATTCTTCAAAGGATCCACATACTCGAGAGAGACGGGTATAACTCTAATGGGGATTATGTCAATCGCATGTACGTTACCAATATGTTTGATTTACTTTCCGCAATGGGGAGGTATGTTTTGTGGACCCTCTTCCAAAAATGTAACTGAAGAAGACTATTATCTCTCCGAATGGAACTCCGAAGAGAGAGAGAAGAACTTACATCTTGCAAGCCAAAAATTCGCGGAAACCAGCGTTAGCGAAAGAGGTCGAGCCACAACTCATCCCCAAACTTGATAAAGTCATGGGTTTTTGTTTGTTTGTTTATATGTATTGACTGTTGAGTATGTTTTTGTCTTCTTCTCTTTTGCTTTTCTTAAGAGTTTTCAAGAACTCAATTTCTTGATTTTATTTATAAGTTGTGTATGTTTTAAACCAAAAAAAAAAAAAAAAAAAAAAAAAAGTTGTGTATGTTTATGTAAAACCTACTGGTTACCGCTTTCTTTTGTAAATGTTTGTTCACCATGAAATGAACCAGCGTATTTTCATTTGGTATACATAATTTTTTTTTCTTTAGTTATCTTTTTGTTTATCGTGATGAACTGATGATAATGATTTGACCACAATAGTACAAACCTAGATTCATAATTCACAATAACACATTCAACCTTGTAAAATGTAAACTATGGATGGACGTTTCCATATTCATATGCGCTTTCACATCAAATAACTTACACAAATACATAGTTACAACTGGGTATTTTATTTCACTATTAGATATTTACTGTGTTGAAAACAAAAATAGAGATTAGTTGAAATCAACTTTATATTTAGTAATACATCATTAAGAACAAAGAATTTTTAGTTGGCCAAAACAAACAAAATTTTCATTATTTCCGCTTTATATTTCAAACAAAATGGTTTGTCTTTATGTCAAAAGTTCATTGAAAGATGACATAACTTTGGTATATGACAAATAGTCAAATACCATGAAACCTGACAATCTTCAATAGATCAAGGGGGATGTATTGGATTAGAGATTTTAGAAGAGTTTGATTTTTTTTAATAAATCACCTGTTATTCAACTAACAATTTTTAAATGACTTTCCAAATCCTCTGTTATTGGAAATAGAATTTATGTAAAATCATTTACAACCCCTTGTTATTCAATCAATGATTTGTAAAACTCATATCAAATCCACTGTTATTGAAAAAGTAACAGAATTTACTAAAAAGGATTTTGAAAAAGATTTGAGGTGACTTCATATACATATTTAGTTGAAAATAGAGGTAAAGAAACTCACACCTATAGAGGTGTGATTTGGAGAGATTTTAATTAAAATAAAAATATCTTCCCATGATAAAAGTATAAAACACTTCATATACATATTTTATAGATCTTAAAATTCACTGAATTTCTCTGAAATCACTCCAAACCTAAAATCCATCAACTCTCCTAAAATCTCTAATCCAATACACCACCCCCCCCCCCCAAATATCTTTTTAGCCCAGCATCTTTAATATATTCAGATTGAGAAACTTTGTAATCTTCTCGCTCAGCTATTGGGCTAAAAAGGCCTATTCCCATTTCATTATGTCTTGTTGGCCTACTACTTTTTCGCTTACTACCTTACCCAATTAGAATAAAATCTTTTACAATGTTTCCTAATACAGTATATCACATTGATTGCTTTGCACGTAGGAAGAAGTAGGCCATATGGAGTCCACGACACAAAACTCTGAATGGTCAAAGATATAAAACAAATAAAACAAATTAAAGAGTTGTCGCATGTTCTTATAACCATTTATGAATTATAATTGCATTTGATTTTATTGTATTGTTTAGCCTAGTCGTGCGATGAAATATCAAAATTAGTCACCCGTTGATTTTATATGACAGTTATACATATACAGTAATGGACAGACACACACATATATATTAAATTCTACTGTGAAACGCTAAGTCAATAGGATTAACTGGTGTAAAGCTGTCTGATTAACAAAAACTTAAGTGTGAAAGCTGTCTTTTACCACTCTTCCAAACACTCCTACGTACCAAAATCTAGCTAGTTCTTTATATTTAATGTAAAGAACCAAAAAACTATTAACTTCTATATAATTCATAAACCATTGATTCCTAAAGATCGCAAGAACCTCGATTTCATTCTTCTTGTTACCTCTAAGCACTCTCTTTCTCTCCCTCTCTCTCTCTCTTGTGGTCGGAGAATGGAGAAGGATAATGACTTCACGGATCCGTTTCTGGCGACAACTGAGGAGGAGGAGCTCGACCCGATGACCCAAAAAGCATTGATGGATTATCTTGGAGTCGGAAGCAGAGCATCTTCCCTTGTCTCCTTCTCCTCTACAGCCGTCGATATCCCTCCAATCTCCGGCGTTGGAGACTTTGTCAGAGAGTTTAGAATTGAGTCTAAAAAGCTATGGAAACTAGCAGGCCCTGCCATTTTTACATCGATGAGCCAGTACTCTCTTGGAGCCGTTACTCAAGTTTTCGCCGGACATATTAGCACTATTGCTCTCGCAGCCGTCTCCATTGAGAACTCCGTCATCGCCGGCTTCTCCTTCGGTATCATGGTACGTTTTACATTGATATATCTCCCCTGATCACATTTTTTCCATTCTGTTTTTATAAAGTATATTAACAAATCTTTAAGAACCAAAAATTATTTAATTTACTGCAAAGATGCTGAAAAATCCTTCAAATATTGTGATACAATAATGTATTAATGTTGTGTATTAATATCCTTATAATTATATAAAAAAAATTTATCTCTTTATAGACTAAATTAAATAAATGATTTATTATACTTTTAGATCAAAATTTTCACACGAAATTCCAAAGTTGTAAGAGTCTACAATCGATCTATAAACTTTACGATGAAAAATGTGTCAATCTATATAACACCCTATATATCATTTTGTTGTATATTAGCCGTACTATAAAACTAGTTTAATATGAGATTACTATAGTTTTAGTTTGTATGCAAAATTTAAAAATTCTGACGGCTATTATTTTGATGCATGTATGGTGCCATTAGCTTGGAATGGGAAGTGCGTTGGAAACGCTATGCGGACAAGCGTTTGGAGCAGGGAAAGTATCAATGCTAGGCGTTTACTTACAACGCTCGTGGGTTATTCTAAGCATAACCGCTCTCTTCCTTTCTCTAATCTATATCTTCGCGGCTCCAATCCTAACCTTTATAGGTCAAACCGCTGCAATCTCGGCTATGGCAGGGATTTTCTCCATTTACATGATCCCACAAATATTTGCATACGCTATCAACTTCCCATCGGCAAAGTTTTTGCAATCGCAAAGCAAGATCATGGTCATGGCAGGAATCTCCGGTGTGGTTCTTGTGATTCATAGTTTCCTCACGTGGCTAGTCATGTCTAAGTTCCATTGGGGACTTCCTGGTTTAGCTTTAGTGCTTAACACGTCGTGGTGGTTCATCGTTGTGGCACAACTTGTGTATATCTTTAATGGTACGTGTGGAGAGGCTTGGTCTGGATTTACGTGGGAGGCTTTTCACAATTTGTGGGGGTTTGTTAAATTGTCTTTGGCTTCTGCTGTCATGCTCTGGTGAGTGCAAACATTTTTCTTTTCCGGTTATTTTGGTCCGATTTGATCCAACCTCATTAATTCATATTTTAAATATAATTTATTTACTTTTGTAGTTTGGAGATTTGGTATTTTATGGCACTCGTATTATTTGCTGGATATTTGAAGAATGCTGAAGTCTCCGTAGCTGCACTCTCCATATGGTATTTTTTATTATCTCTTAAGATAGACACTTCTCATAAATTTAATTAACATCTTCACGACATTTAAGGTTTACATGATTTGTTATTTGATTTATTTATTTATATTATCATAGAGATTCTCTGAATAAGACTAGACCCAACGTGCGTAGTAGTCTCTTATTTTGTCTTTTGTGGCCAGAAAAGCCTACTAGTCGATTTTTTTTGGTTTAATAATATATATAAATATTTCAAAGATTTTTAATCTAATGTTGCTGGACCGTTTTAAAGAGAGTATAGGGATTTATAATAATGTATTAAGAATTCAAAATGTTGAGTACTTCCATTGCAAAGAAATTTCTAATTATTTGTTGTCCTTAATGGTGTGTGGAATGTGAAGCATGAACATTTTGGGATGGGCAGCTATGGTTTCAGTTGGGACAAACGCAGCAGTAAGGTAAATTTCTCGCGTGTGGAAACTAAATCTTTACAAAATTTACACATCTCACAAGTGCCAAGCTAATAATACATTTTTGTTGGCAGTGTGAGAGTGTCAAATGAGCTTGGAGCTAGCCACCCAAGAACGGCTAAGTTTTCTCTAGTTGTGGCGGTGATATTATCGACAACGATCGGGATGGTTATAGCGGCTGGCCTACTATTCTTCCGAAACGAGTACCCTGTTTTGTTTGTGGAAGATGAAGTAGTTAGAAATGTGGTTAGAGAACTCACGCCAATGCTTGCCTTCTGCATTGTCATCAACAATGTTCAACCTGTACTGTCTGGTAATATTTGTTTAGTGGACTCCAATATAATATAGTTGTACATAAACTTCCAACTTAAAACCGATTGGATGTTATAATGGTTTATGACACTTAATTATATGTTAGTTTGATCTGATGGGGCATTATGATATATTTTGATTACGCAGGAGTGGCTGTGGGAGCGGGATGGCAAGCGGTTGTAGCTTATGTGAACATAGCATGCTACTACTTGTTCGGAGTCCCATTTGGTCTATTGTTGGGATTTAAGCTTGAATATGGAGTAATGGTAATGAAATTCACAACTTTTTATCTTGAAGTTAAACCCCTTGTTGATTAGTTAAGGAATGACTAAAGATTGGAGTTTTTGATGTTGTGGAAACCTATATTGATCAGGGAATTTGGTGGGGGATGATGACGGGAACTTTTGTTCAGTCGATAGTCCTGACTTGGATGATCTGCAAAACCAATTGGGAGAAAGAGGTAAGAAACCAAAACACTTGATAAGACCGAATAAACAAGATCTGGCTCACTCTTGAGTTGTTGTTCTAATCTGTTGAGTGATATATATTTGTAGGCTGCAATGGCAGAGGAAAGGATTAGAGAATGGGGAGGAGTACCAGAGAAAGAGACTCTTTTGAACTAAAAAGAGATTTTACTTCAAGACATGTTAAGGAGTCTTTCAAATCACATTTTTGTATACGAACCTTAAAGGAAATTTGGTTCTCTTTTTCTTAAAAAACTGTAACTTGTTATGTCATCAAACGCTGACAAGATATGTTATCTATAAACATTATTGACTTTTGAGAAGTGGAGTCTTAATGAGAATTTATCAAATCAGTGGAATACTAATCTCTCGTACAGAAGTTGCTGAGTAGACTCAAACGTCCCAAGACCCGAGAAGACTAATCAAGACAAGCAACAAACCCCAAAAACCAAAAGTATATCTAAAACAAAAGCAAGCAAGAGTGATCATGATCAAAATCAAAACCAAGACAAATAATCTATCAAGCACGGTACTGAGCAACACGAACATCATAAGATAAACGGCTAAATTAAACGAAATCTATAAAGTCATCAAAACATGATACATCTAAGCAGTGAGGACAACAGCACCACCAGCTTCCTTAATCTTCTTTTCAGCTGTCTTTGACACAAGCTTAGCCTTGACAACAACAGGTTTATTCTCCGGCAAGAAACCTTTACCTAAAACCTTAAAATACCCAAATTGAGTAACATCGATCATAGGCACACTGTCTTTCGTTGCTTTATCCTTAACGTCCTGAGGAACCATCGACCAAAGCTTGTCAAGATTGACGATCGGGCAGTAAAACTTGTTCCTGAGCTTGTGGAAATACCTCATACCAACTTTACCAAAATATCCAGGATGATACTTGTCAAAGAGGATACGGTGATGATGCATACCTCCGGCGTTACCACGACCTCCAGGATGCTTACGGTGCTTTCCGACACGACCATGTCCTGCAGATACGTGTCCTCTGAGCTTTCTTGTGTTCTTCCTGCTGGTCGTCATTTTTCACCGATTGAAATTAGGGTTTCACAGGGAAAAATGGGAATTAGGGTTATAAAGTCGATTTCGAACGCAGCATTTTGCAGTAATCTCTAGGGTTTTTACGCGGCTAAATGGGCTAATTATTGGGCCTTAAGAAAGGTCGGGTAATGAAGAGAGAGAAGAATCCGGTTCCGGTTTAAGTCCAACCAAATAAAGCCGAAATTAAATTCTGCTGGATTTGGTTTTAGAAAGAAAAAAAAAAGATATAAGAATAAAAATCTAGCAACAAGGGATGAAATATAAAATAAATTAAATATATTTGGAAATTTTAGGTAAAAATATTCGTAAAAAATATTTAATCATTATCTCTACTTAATTTTATATGAACTAGGACGAAACCCGCGCTACGCTGCGGGATATTTTTTTGATATTTTTTATTTAATAAAACTATATTTGTAATAATTAAATCATAATGTTTGAAAACATTTTTAAAAAAAAAGTTATTTGGCATCAAATGGCTTTACGAGAAAAGAAAAAAAACATACATGAAGTAAATATTTTTTACTCAAATTTTATGTAGCCTTCTCTGATCTCTAGAGCATCTCTTAGTCTAAACCAAAGTTTGTTAAGCGAAATGCACAAAAATCATTTAATAAAAACTGAAATTATAAGCAAAATAAAAAAATTTGGTTTAACTTCGGGTACAATAATTTTTTTGTGAACCGAACCAAACTTTACAAAAGAAAAACGAATCAAACTTAAGAAATTCAACTTAGAACAATTTCCTCCAACCCGAATAAATCGAAGTTCTGGACCGAACCGACTGAAACTTCTCGATAATAAAACTTATTTTCTCAATTTTTGTGGTTGTCTAAGCTAAATAGATAATGCATCTCGTTCAAAGGGTTTTGTTTGTTTTCTCACATGAGAAAGTTACTATAGAGAGCCATCTCAGCTTGTAATACAACAAGTTCATCTTCCTCAGCGGTTGGTTGCTTATTGGGACGATTGGGTTGTACACGGACTTGAGCATTTGTTGTTGGATGAAGAATTTGCTCTTCTAGCTCCGTGCCTTCTAGTTCTTCCAATTTATCATGTAATTACTATTAATAAAAGCATTCAGAAAGCTAAATAGATTTGTGTTTTTGAAATTGAGTACCTGTTCTAGGGATCTAAAGGAAAATTACTTCATCGAAATCAGCAGCAGAACCAATTGGAGCTGATAATGCTATTTGAATCTGTTCCATGTTCTCAGTTTGCTCGTTGATCTCATCCATTGTCTTGTCAACATCATCAATGTTTCTGCAAAACAAATGTGTTTAAAACACACACTTAGTCTAGGCAAATAAACACATATGTTGCTTTCTGCATAGCTTTTATTCCAGAGGCTCCAGTCCTCAAAGCGTCTATAGTTTTCGTTGTAATTTTCTGCAACACCCTCCACTTATATTTTTCTTTTTTTGATTTTTCATGAATCACTCTACTCTTGGAAAAATATTTAGATTAATCAAATCATAAATTATCTCCTAATTTGTTAGACATTACTCTTGCACCATTACTTTAATCAATTTTTCCAGAACTAAAACCAGATTATTCCTATTATTAAGAATTATTTGATTAGTAGTTAACACTCTTAACATGAACAATGAAGCTGATAAAACAAACATTAATTTTGAATCGAAGAGCTGCATATAAACGACCGGGTAGCAGATGACTAAACATTCAAAGAAAATAATCAAACTATCACAGAACCTCGAAAAGTATAATAATTCTATTGAATATTATGATAAAACATTAGAGCTAACTTGACTAACATTAGAAGAATGCCACAGAAATTTGATAAGAATAAGAAACGTAATCTCTATTTCTTAACCTCGATACAGTGTTTCACAAGAGATTGAGCCACCGACACATCGCCGATTCATAACTCTCTCTCACAAGCGAAACATACGTCACCGTACATTCATCAAACAATGCATAAAGCCTAACAAATGAGAAAACTATTCTTATATAGGAGTCATTATTCACACGTGCCAACATTAGTTTCTTCAAGCTTTTCTCTCACATGTGTTGGCTTCCTCTGCTTTCTTCTTTCTTGTATACACATTCAGTGGCTTATCAAAATTCCAATGGATCATCAAAATGAAAACATAGATAAATACATATGATACCACACATTCCATATAAATCCAAGAAAGAAAAGTATAAATTTAGACCTTATCTCTACAACTTCTCTTCGTCTATCAAGCAATTTGAGGTCAAAACAGAGTATCATCATCATCATTTTCATGATTCTTCTATACATTTTATACTAAAATTTGAAAAGAAAAATTAACCATGTACATATCTGCAATTTCATATATTTTATAGTTTCGGCTAACGATTGTCGTGATTTTTAATAGTGGTCATCAATAATGGCAGGAAGTGGCAATCCTTATCAAGATGAAGATAGACTATTTTGAAAAATCAAAATCACACCAGCATCATCAAGAACACGAGCGAAAGGATGACCTTCATCAAAAGATCTAGCAGTACCTAAACCTTAATGAGTGTAGTGTAAGAAACCATTTATTTATCACCCATATCAATAAGCTTCTTCTTCATATCTTCAACATCCACTAACCTCATTAGCTTCTTAGCTTCTGTCACTGTCATATCCTTTTTCTCATCTTCTTACTTAGATTCAAGGTAGAGACATCTATACCTGCCGAGAAAAGTCCTTACTGGAGAAGATTTATTCACGATGACATTGTACGTTCATCTTATTGAACCCACCATTGACCACATCTTTAATCAAAATCAAATTTTTAAAGTGACTCACAAATTTGTTTCTCCTATAAAATCAGGGCAATGTGATATTTGGCAATTTGTCACGATCCGCTTGATGGCACTTTTTCAAGATTCTCGAACTCTCTTACGTTCTGCTTTATATCATCCTCACATATCGTCCCACTTTCTCTAAGCTTGAACACAATAAATTCTGATTCACTAATCACAACCAACAACAACAAAACTCAATCAGTAACCAAAAATAGAATTTGGAATGAAAGATAACAGAACTTGCAAATCTTTACCTCGTGGGCAATTTCATGACAGTAATAGTATATTAATCTAAAGGGAAACTGTTATAATTTAGCTAGAGCATGTCCTTAGATAACTACATTAGCTCTACATGACTTCCGTGGCTAATTTCATCAGACTTCTTACTTGCTTTTACTTTTCTTCTTCTTCTTCGTTGAAGCCTCAGCTAAAATGAAAAGATTAAACAACAATAAAAGAAATAAGTTTTATCATTGTACACCTTAAATATCCAAAAGCAAAAAAAAAAACTCCTATCTTAACAGTAGGTCATTCCGACGCAAACAAATGATATAGAGGAAATTGAAACTAATGAAATCAGAAATATTCTTGCTAACGTATGTCCATGGCGGCACCCTCATCGGAAGTTGAGCCTCCAACAACAAGAAAACTCGGCCGGTACTATTGGCCAGGAGCAGAGGCATAAGCACCGGAGGTTTCACAATTGGAAGAGCTGTACGGCGAGGCAACCTCGATTCCACGGTGGAAAGATAGGTCGCAGGCGGTGGAGTTTTAAAATCCAAGGGTTTTTAGATTTTTTTATCTTCTAAGTGGGTTATTAAGTGGGCTATTATTTTGGTTGGGCCTAAACAAATGTTTATTTTGAAATTTGATAAGAGTGAGATGTGGAAAGATAGAATGATATTATTGGAAGACAAAACTGAGTTGTATTATTTGAAATGTTCTGATTGGGTATCGATTTTAACTGAGGTGTCACCTCTAGAACACTTCAAAAAGCTGAGGTGTCAGCACTGGAGAGACTTCTGCTGTTTTTATTGTATTGATTATCAACCAAATTTTTTAAAAAATATTTTCATTGTAATTATCTTTTAAGTTGCACATTATCTTAATAACTTAAAAATATTTCTTACTAATTTTATAATATTAAAGTTTTGATATAATTCACTTCTTCTTCTTCACTCTGTTTCACACATCTCAAAAGCTCTCATCTTCAATCTCGTAGAACATGGATCATGATTTAGAGATCTTTCCTTTGCTCTCCTACGTCCTCCACCATTCCGATCCCGCTTCTCACGCGCCACCGTCTCTGGCGATTCAGCAATCTCTAGCGAATCGTTATCCCCTTCTCACCAATCCACATGTAATCTCCTCGTTGATTGAATCAATTCCCAGTACAATCACGCAGACCCTTTACGTATTCGGCTCTCTTGGGCCACGACCTGATCCTTTAGCTGTCTCTTCTGCTCGGTCTAAGATCGCTGAGATCCGAGAAAATGATTCGTTGTCTCCGGAGGATGCGGCTAAGGAAGAGCAGGTTTACGTTACGGTGGTGAGGTTAGAGGAAGTTCATGAAGGATACGAGAAGCAATTGAGGGATTTGGAGGAGGAGCTGTGTAGGGTTTATGCTTCGGCGGTTGAATCATTGAGCGGTGGCGATGAAGTGAATGAGGAGGTTTTAGCTGTGATTAAGGAAGCTGAAGATGGTGGAGTCGTTGAGAGGATTGATCTCTCTGATCGTGAGCTTAAGCTTCTTCCTGATGCTTTAGGGAAAATCGTTGGTTTGGTTTCACTGAATCTCTCTCGTAACAATCTCAAGGTAATTTACCGAGAACTTGAATCAGCTCCACATGAATGTTCGTGTGCAGTTTCAAAGTTAGAACTCAATAAGATTAGCTCGATTATAGCTTCAAAGACCTCAGAAATCTCAACGAGTTCTCTGATTCGTAGAGGTTGTGAAAAAGCACGAAACTTTGAATGTCTTAAGTTTTGAAATTTGGAATGTGAGTATATAGACTGGCTTTAGCTTGTGAATCTTGGTGTTTGTGTGAAACTTGATCGTCTTATTATCTAATAGTCATTGGTAACTATTGAATCAACGATCATCGTTAGAGTTGCAGGATAACTCATGATTTTGGTGATCCAGTTGTTTGTCTTTTAAGACTTTAGAAATCTGTGAATCTTTTTTCTTTTAGTGATTAGTAATCTGCTGTTGTGAACATTGCGGCTAAACATTGATCTGTTTTTTCCTTTTGCAGTTCCTACCTGATACAATCTCAGGACTTGAGAAACTGGAGGAGCTAGATTTATCTTCAAACCGTCTTGTGTCTCTTCCCGACTCTATCGGACTGTTACTTAATCTGAGGATCTTAAATGTGACGGGCAACAAGCTAACTTCACTCCCAGAAAGCATTGCGCAGTGCAGGTTTTGTGTTTATACGTTTATTCATGTTTCGCTTCAGTTAGCTTATTATCCAATGCTGAAGAGAGATATATTCTTCTGATTAGGTCACTTGTCGAGTTAGATGCCAGCTTTAACAACTTGACTTCTTTGCCTGCAAACATCGGATACGGATTACTCAATCTCGAAAGGCTATCAATCCAGCTGAACAAAATCCGTTTCTTCCCCAATTCCATGTGTGAGATGCGTTCTCTAAGGTATCTAGATGCACACATGAACGAGATTCACGGCCTTCCAGTCGCTATAGGGAGACTCACAAGCCTTGAAGTCATGAACTTGAGCAGCAACTTCAGCGACTTGACCGAACTTCCTGACACAATCTCTGATTTAGCTAACTTGAGGGAGCTAGATCTCAGCAACAACCAGATCAGAGTCTTGCCCGACTCGTTTTTCAGGCTAGAGAAGCTGGAGAAACTGAACTTGGACCAGAACCCATTGGAGTTTTCTCCACAAGAGATGGTTAACCAAAGCGCTGAAACGGTTCGAGAGTTCATGAGGAAGAGATGGGAAGAGATGGTGGAGGAAGAGCAATTGAGGAGTGTGATAGAAGCTGAGAAGCAACAAGGAGGAGCAACAGGTTGGCTCTCATGGGGAAGCTCCATTGTTACTAGCCTCTTTTCTGGAGGTACTCATGGTGGTGCAGCTAAGAAGCCTAAAGACTCATTTTTGAATGAACAACTCTGAATTTTTTAAATTCCTTTGATTTTTGTAGAAAGAGTACCTAGTTTGGACGTCAGACTTCGGTGTGCCTAAATGGGCCCTTAATAACCCTTCATAGGCCCATCTCTGGGTTATGTTTGGGTTACATCAATAATGAGCCCTTTAATGTGCCTTTCCCATCCTTTCGCCAGCTTAATGTGGCTATGAATATTTTACGAAGAAAAAGATAAAACATGAGAGAGATGGTTTTGTGAAGAACGTTTTTTCCTTGAAGTGTATAGTCCAATCAAATTTCGGATGAACATATATAACTAGAAGAAAAAAAAAGTGAACTAAAATCCACAATATAAATAAAGTTCTTCGTATACACTTGTAACTAAATCATTGAATGTTCTCATTACACCAATCCATCCATGTTGTTATCGGTGTTTTTGGTCTTTACAAGTTGTCTAATTGAATTTTATTTTTTCCCAACCAACTAATTTGTATAACTTTTAGAAAAGTTTATAGAGGCATATAAGTTAAAAATAAAAATCTAAATTTATTCCATAGACACTTGTGGGACAAAAGCTGTAGAAGAACATCTAGTTACAGAAAAAAGGAATGATGGATCTTGGGACTAGGGTTTCTACATTAATGCACCAATAATATATAATAAAATTAAGAAAAGAGTAATAATTGTTGTTGTCATTTATTATCTGCCAGTTTCTTGTTTGCTAAGGGCATCATCAATGGGGGATCATGTGAGGGTGTTCTTATAGAGAATATAATGTTAAAATAATGTAAGATCATGTGTTTAGATCTTTTGTTTAGAAGTTGATTAGTGGGAGAACATGTGTAAGATCTTAAGACTTAATAATATAATAATCTAAATTAAATTAAGATTTTACAATTATTAAAACATTTAAAAATAACATATAAATTGCAAATGCCAAATTTATGAAAAACTGAAAATAAAAGTGAAAATACAATACTAAATATTTATGAAAAAAACATTAAAAATATAAATAACAATAAACAAACAAACATATTACTTAATAAAAGCACAAAAACATTTTATCTAATTAATACATAGTTTATTATCCAAATTTATTCCAAATATGTTGAATATTCCAACCAATGCCCAAATGCCACGTCACCCCGCAACACCCACAAGAACAGATCCAGGTCAAGAGCCCAGTTCCTGATCTTAAGCCCACTAACCCATTTTTTTGGATTTAAATAATGCTTAGATCAGGGGGGGTGATCCCCCAATGCAGATGGTCTAATGGTTTTAATGGGGGTTACATTGTATATGCATACATATGAATCTGACCCTAAGGTATTAGAGGTAGAGAGATTAGGAGACAATTTGATCAGAACCAAAAAGTACTACTGATCTTACTCTGAGTTTGGCAGATCGTTTTGCTCCTCTCATCTTTCTCTTATTTTTCCTAAACTTAATTATTGTACACTGTTCGTAGATGTTTTTTCTTATTATTATTGTTATTACAATATTACTTCAGAATGAAATAGTTACAGCAGATTAGTTTTTTCTTTTTCATATTCATACGTAATTTGGTGTTGAAAAGTAAGCTTATAATTTGATGTTGAAAAGTGAACTTATAATAAGCACCGTAATCAATGTATTAATTAGTATATATAGATTAGGACCCATCTCTAGTGTAATTACTCTTCAAACAGTAAGTTTGGTCTATCTTCTCAATAGTCTAAACAAAACGTAAGCTTATAATAAGCACCTTTATACCAAATTTTCCAATAATCCAGAAGTTTCATTTTCAATCCGAAATCTAGATATTTACTCAAGTGTGTGGATGCATTTAATGATATTTGGCCAAAATTTCTTAATAGTAGTAATACTCAAGAGAAGGAAAAAAAATATTTATAGATTAAGCAATGAATTATAAGTTTTTAAAATAGATAGTCAAATCACAGAGTAATAATTATGTAACGCATGGGTGCCCAGGGTCCACATCATAGGGGGCAAAATGATGAGAATGATCTTTTCTTATGTCCCAAAAGGTCACTCACTTTTAACGGGATTTGTTTTTTTTTTATCCTCTTTTGTATCACATTTTTTAACTCGAAATATATTATACTGAAGGTTTTTTTTTTTATTAAAGGCAAGAAGGTTGATTGATTGAACTCAGAATTTGAGTTAGAATTCTTTTTGATGTTGATGAAAGATCATTATTCGTTTGGTTATTAATTTACTTCTTTTTTTAGGCAAAAATTATTGTTCTTGGAAGAATGAACAAGTCGAGGAAGTGAAGTCTTTTTTCAAGGGATAAAAATGATTGATGGAATTTTGGAGTTTTGGTATTTGACACTCTCTTTTCTTTGTCGTTGCAAAATCTCCTTTTTCTCGACCCACCATTTACTCCGTCTTTCAAAATCTATCAAATCATACTTTTGAATAGTTACTATACTATAGTCATTTATACCAAAATACTTTATGCTATAAAGCAACACTTTTAACAAGAAAAATGTAGAAAGAGCAGCAATTATAAATAGAGAGGTTTATAAAATTTTCATTAATAGAAAGCGATTAAAATTGTGGTGAAGCAACGATTCTCAACTCCATTGATGAATACATCCTTTTCCATGTCTACAGATTTATAAACATTTTAATTATTTAAAGAAAAATACAAACAATATGAAAACAGTTCATAATTTTTCTTCAGAAAATTAATAATTTATAATAAAAACATTGACTATATACTACAGTATTTACTAATATTTTTATATTTACATATAAAATTTAGATAAATTTTGATTATTTTCTTGAGTTTATTTGGTTGAACTAAAGTTATGTTAAGTTTGATTGGTTTGGTTGTGAGATATGTAGATTGAGTACGGTTTGATTAAAAACAATTGGTTCAGTTAAGCTTTCACTTACTTGATTAGGTTGGGTATAATTCATATGTCCACCCCTAATCGAAAGTCGATATATACTAGAAATGGATCATAAACTAATTAACTCAAACCACGAGATATCTTAATAATTGACTTTGTGACATCGGAAATCACAAAGACATTTGCTTAGGACTGAGCTGGAAACCCAATGTCTTTAGTTCCCCAAATTTTGAACAATTTCTCATTTTAAATTTTTTTTTGAAGTTCTCCAATAGACTCTTTTGTTGTTTTTACCATATAGTAATAATTAATATAACAATTATTATTGAATTTATTAACTCAACCTACCCCCAGACAAAATCTTATATCAACCATGGATACTCTGTTGTTATTTTGGTAATATAAGATCTTGCCTACGGTTTAACCTAGAGTTGTAACATTTCAACATTAGACAAAATGTTATCAGTTTATGTTCATATTATGACTATGCACACAGGACTTTTAAAATTAACAATATTTCAACGCCAGAAATTTTAAGAATTTAGTTTTCTTGCAAAATTAACGCCGGTGTTTTAAAATAGACTGTAACGTGAAGAATCGGAAGATATATATGGAATGATTTCACGACAGAAGCAATAAATAAAAAGCAAGCTTTTGAATTCTGATACATGAAATACATATATGTCTCATACATACGATTAGACAAACCTGAAATGTCCTCTTCGTACAATAATACACACATGTCAGATATACACTGAAGTCATGTTGCTATGCATATCTTTTGTTCCATACTTTTTCTCTACTTTTACAAAATCATTTATTTTCTTTTCGATATCACCGATTGGTGTATGTTGTAAACTTTTAATCATATACTAACATTAAACAAAGAGATACTTTTGAAGGATTATTCTAATTGGTATTCTTCGGAATGATGGAATTTCCCTTTACTAATCATACAGAAATAATGTAAATATGTTAAGCATGTGTGAAAATACTGTTGGTTGATTTTTAACGTTTTAATTAAAAAAAATAAAAGCAATAACAACGTGGTTTTAACTTGCCACTTGCATCATCATCAAACAAAAACACTAACGTCTAGACCAAATATTTAAACATCTACCCCATATATATATGATGAACGAGATAGCAAGTAAATTGAATGTGAGTGAAACTGAAACCTTATTTTGATAAAGATTAATTAATAAATAAAGTAAGTAAGTATTATCAGTTTACCAGTAATAATCAAATCAAGTTTTAAGTTCAACTCCAAAGTTTCCATTACAATGTTTATTTGTGTAAGTCTGCAAGAGATACGTTATACTCTTCACCATATATTTATAAGTTCAGAAAATTAAATTAATATACAATTTATGTACCTATAAATACATAGAAGAAGCTCCATCTCTTTCAAGGTACCAACCACCAAAATCTTTCACATTTCTCCTTACTTTAGTCCTAAAACCAAACCCTAGAAACCAAAAAATGGAAGAAGCCCTAAGGAACTTCACCGAATCTACCCACTCACCCGACCCAAATCCTTTCACGAGAAACTTCACTGATGCTACAGCTTCACCAGTTAGCCGCAACCGCAAACCGTCTTCAAAAGATACCACAGTAACCATCGCCGGAGTTGGCAGCAGCACGACGAGGTACCGCGGCGTACGCCGGAGGCCGTGGGGACGATACGCGGCGGAGATACGTGACCCGATGTCAAAGGAAAGACGGTGGCTCGGAACATTTGACACGGCGGAGCAAGCCGCTTGTGCTTACGACTCCGCGGCTCGTGCCTTTCGTGGAGCTAAGGCTCGTACCAATTTTGCTTATCCGACAGCTGTCATTATGCCTGAACCAAGGTTTTCCTTTTCTACCAAGAAATCTCTGCCGTCCGCTCGTTGTCCTCTTCCTTCTCTACCGTTAGATCACTCTACCCAGGACTTTCTTGGTGCACCGGCAGCGCAGAGGATCAATACACAGTCTATCTTCTTACGTGACGCCTCGTGTTCCTCTCGTAAAACGACTCCGTATAACTCTTTCAACGGCTCATCATCTTCTTACTCAGCACCAAAGACGGCATGCTTTTCATCTTCCGAAAACGAAAACAACGAGTCGTTTTTCCCGGAAGAATCTTCTGATTCTGGTCTTTTACAAGAGGTCGTTCAAGAGTTCTTGAAGAAAAATCGCGGCACTCCTCCTCCGCCACCAACACCACCGCCGGTGACCAGCCATACCCATAACTCTGGTGATTTCTCTGCTCTCACTCTCTACTCTGACAATATGTTTCAAGAGACGAAGGAGTCCCTCTCGTCGAAACTAGATCGCTACGGGAATTTCCAAGCTAATGACTCCGGTTATTTCGACGGCGTAAGCGCCGCCGCAGTCGGTGGTTCAACGTACGGATCAAACGAGTGGGGGTATCAAGAAATGTTGATGTACGGAACTCAGTTAGGCTGTACTTGCCGGAGATCGTGGGGATAGCTAGATCTTCATCATGATTATGTTTTGAGTCTTGGTACTATCTACATAGTTTAAAGTTTTCTTCCTTTCCCAATGTTGGATATTAACTAAAAATATGTTTAAGATGAATTTGCTATAGATTTTAAGTTGTTATTTTATAATTAAAGTTTTCGAATTTAAGTTTATGTTTAGGGCTATCGAAAGTTTATTCTTCTGGTCTTCGTGCGTGTGTATTACTGTGTTATAAAAAGGAAAACGTTATTGAGATTACAAGTTTGAAATGGACAATGAAAAAAAAAAATGATTAAAGTAAAAAAATGTAGAATATATACTCATTACACGGTTAATGATTTAAGTTGTATCCTAATTTATAATCACAACTTGTTAACCAGCTTAAAGCCTCTAACTTACTCGTAAATCATAATAGCAAATATGATAAGAGATTAGTAAAATAGAAAATTTTCTTTGTTGAGCAATGTGGGCATCGACCTATTTAAAATGAATCTGCAGATGAAAAAAGTGATATCCTTACATTAAATTCTAACTTATTTGTTTGTAGTCTGAAAAGTGGACTTTCGTACGTACAAAAGGCAGTGTTTGTCTCTGTCTTCTCCAACTTTTCGTGCTCTCTTCATTCTATCACCAAAGGAAAAGCTAAACTACTAATTACTGAATAATAAAGGTCAAGAACTTTAATATTTATTGATATCAAAATAATTCAGATGATTAGATCATTATACAAATTTTCTCACACGTTGATTAACCAATACTGAATTTTGCAGAATAAACTAAAATATATGCAGAATGAGTTTCAATTCATTGTGAATTTATGATAATAAAAAAAAAAAAAACTCCGGAGTTGCGTTTTTTTGGTATCAACATGTACACAATGACACTACACATGTTTGCAATTCCGTATGTTTCGTACTAGTATACGAAAACAACAAAAATGGTACCAAACAAAATGAACGTTTGTTCATATTACAAAACATCATGATATATATGCACTTTACGAGAAATGGTCTCAATCTCTTTATTATTGACACACACAAGTACACTAATCATATATTTGTAATTCAATTTAATGTCTCATATAACTAGACAACTTAGAAATTACTGTTGGGTGCTAACTTTCTAAATCTCAACGAATTAAAGTGAAATCATACTAGGGCATAAATAATTAAAGGGTGAAGGTCAACTTGTCTCGAGATAAAGGCGCAAGGCTAGGGTTTATAGGTATTTGTAGAACACTTAAGTTAATATTCGTTAGGCAATGTATACTAGGCACTAGCTAACTAGAAGTTGGAAAATATCCAACAAAAAAATAATCTGATCATTTACCATATGATTCTACAATTATTCGATATAGGCATGAATCATGAATGCATATCTTGTATGTCCATTCCAATTGTTGAGTAAGTCTCTTGTAAACTCTAAGCTAAGCGAGCAACAACAAATATTATCTCCACAATGTAGAGGGGGAAATGGTTAGGCCCAATTTCAAGCCTAAATATTAGGCCCGTAATAAGATTCACATCTGAAAAGTGGAATTCTTGGTCTTAGACTCTTTGTACTTGAATTGATGTTTTCCGCAACTCTACGCCCTATTATCTTTATCTACGTCAGCTAGTTGCTCTGAACTAAAACATCATCATCATCATCATCATCATCATCTAATCTACGATACTGAATAGTTAGAGCTTGATTACTATAGAATATAGTTGTTACTTGTTATATAAACTCGACGTATGAAAGTGTAGTTCATTTCTTTAACAAATTTTAGGGGTACCTTGTTTTTTATTTTCTCTTCTTAATCCACAATGAATCTCCCAAAATATACATTTGTGAATGATGAGTTAAATGCTTTTTACACCACTCAAAAGATAAAGTGGGCTTGTGACGTTTCAGCCATTGTAAACCTCAAAAGTTATTAGTGGGAGACCTTAAAAGATCAAGTCAACGCCGACTAATCCAACACCACCGCAACACGTTAACGAGCAATGCAACTTGAGTCTTAAAATCTTTTTCTCAAAAAAGCCTCCAATTCGTTTTCATATACACACATGACATACTCCACTCCTTCTCATATGTATAATTTATCCTAATAATTTCTTTTGATTGAAATTGATAAATCATTTTTGTTTTTATTGTATACTTGAGCAATCATACACAGAGAAAGAAGCTAACATACTCCATTCACTTATCAAGAGTGGAAAAATTCGTACAAGTAGCCAAACACTTTTCTTATTTGTCAAGGAGTTGTATGGATATAAAATTAGATGTCATAAATAATATCTCAATCATAAGTAAACGACCTTATAATTTTCCAAGTCAATGTATCTCGCCGAACTATCCAACACAAGTCACGATGATCCACTGGCTTTGTTTAAAAGACTTACAATCATTGAATCATATTGTCTCATTAAAATTAAATAATTTGTTAAGGATTGTTGTTACACATGAAATGATGCTCTGTATGACTGTATCCTAAACATTTTAATCATAGTAATACCTAAAAAAAAAGAATATGATTCTTTTGTTTGACCTTTTAAGGATCTCTAAATGGGCCATGAGTTAAAAGTAAGCCCAATTACAAAGGAGATATTTTTAGAGAGCCACGTGTCAGAAGCTTAGTAATGAAGTCATTTACACGACATAAATAAAACAGAGGCGTTGAGTCAGGTCCGAGAGACTCGTGGTGGGGCCCGAGTAAACCGTTATGCTGCTATGTAAATGACAAAATCACCCCCAAACTCAGCGTCCTTGGAGTGAAGTGAGATAAGGGTAAATACGTAAAGTGAGGAGAATGCAGAGAATTTGATGAATTTATTAAGAATTGTGAAATTGGCCCCTTTTCTTTTCTTAATCGCGTAGTGCCACCCATTTCCAGAGAGGACACAGCCTTTTTTTGTATCCCTCTTTCTCTCTTACTCATTCGTTTTTTCTTTCTTCTGATTCAAATTTATTTGTGTTTCTCTCAAAACTAAGGATTAAGAGTTTCTTTTTTTTGGGTAGTTTCTGTTTTTGTTAACTGTGTCGTCAAGCTGAGATTGGAGAGTGAGTGATTTGAAAATTTTATTTTCCGGGAGCAAAAGGGCGTCATTGGAGATAGGCGAAGTATATTTGGGCTTCGTTGTCAAAGAAAGACGAGTTTTTGAGATTTGAAAAGGTGGTTGGCATTTTTGGTAAGTATTTGGTAATCGGTGGATCTGATATTGGGATGTGGTGGATGATGGGAGAAGCTGGTGGACATTACTGTTCTAAGAAGACTGATGATATCTGCGGCGGTGTTTGTAGTCAGGTTTGTTCTCTGATCTCCTTTTTTGTGAAGATTTGTGTGTGCCTTTGTTCTGTTTCTGAGATAACGAAGAAACCACATTGATGTGCAAAAACGAGATCTTTACTTCATTTACTTGAAATTTGCAGTTTTGGATCTTTTAAGATCTTAAAAAGTCGTCCCATTTATTTGGTTTTGATGTTAAGCGATTCTTAATTCTCCAATTCTAAAACTTTTATCTCTTTTTCTTCACTATTTAAGAAACTAACTTGGATCTGAGTTTAGATTTTGAGAATTTCTCTTTCAAATCTTTCAAAGGGTATTTTATTCATGTCTCTTTGCTCTGCATCTCTTGTGTTATGGTCTAATGTTTAACATATTTGTTTATTCTCTATCTGGCAGGAACCTGGAAGATTCTTCAGCTTTTCTAGACTTTGTTGTGCTCTTCGTGGTGTTGATATGAAGACTTATATCTTCTTATTAGTGATTGTTCCTACATGTGTACTCGCTGGTTATGTACATGGTCAGAAGATTTCTTACTTTCTCCGGCCATTATGGGAATCACCACCTAAACCTTTTCATGACATTCCTCATTACTACCACGAGAATGCTTCAATGGAGACTCTTTGTAAACTCCATGGCTGGGGTGTACGAGAATACCCTAGACGAGTTTATGATGCGGTTTTGTTCAGTAACGAGCTTGATATCCTCGCTGTTCGTTGGAGAGAATTGTTTCCTTACATCACTCAGTTTGTCCTTCTTGAATCAAACACGACGTTCACTGGGTTGCCTAAGCCTCTTGTGTTTGCTGCTCACCGTGATGAGTTCAAGTTTATCGAGTCACGCTTGACTTATGGTACTGTTGGTGGAAGATTTGTCAAAGGGCAGAATCCGTTTTACGAAGAGGCTTATCAGCGAGTAGCTCTAGATCAGCTTCTGAGAATTGCTGGGATTACTGATGATGACTTGTTGTTAATGTCTGATGTTGATGAGATTCCAAGTAGACACACCATAAACCTTTTGAGATGGTGCGATGAGATCCCGAAGATCCTTCATCTGCGGCTCAAGAACTATCTTTACTCGTTCGAATTTCTTGTTGATAGCAAAAGCTGGAGAGCTTCCGTCCACAGATATGAGACGGGCAAGACACGGTATGCTCATTATCGACAGTCTGATGAAATCTTGGCGGATGCAGGATGGCATTGTAGCTTTTGCTTTCGACGGATCAGTGAGTTTATATTCAAGATGAAAGCATATAGCCATAATGATAGAGTGAGGTTTGGTCATTTCTTGAATCCTAAGAGAGTTCAAAGAGTTATATGCAAAGGAGCTGATCTTTTCGATATGCTCCCCGAAGAGTATACCTTCAAGGAGATAATAGGGAAAATGGGTCCAATCCCGCATTCTTTCTCGGCCGTTCATCTTCCTTCGTATCTCCTGGAAAACGCGGATAAGTACAGATTCCTCTTACCGGGAAATTGCATAAGAGAAACTGAATGATGATCGAATCTTCACTACATAGAGTCTTACATCTCGCTCATCTTAAGCCCTCTACATTGAGAGGAAACAAAGGCTGGCTTGAATCCTCCTCGGGACTAATAACACTTACACAGCTGATATAGAATCTCTGCAATTTTGTCTGAGGCGTATCGGTGTCGGTGAATGCTGCAGAGTTTTTCATCAGGCACTTTGAGAGGATTATTAAAGAGTGAAGATTTTTGTATATAGATAGACCTCTTTGTTTCTTTAGGATTCTGATTTCGCATCAGGCATGAAAACCTTCATTCTCTGTGACTGTGCATCATCAAACATGAGTTTGTGTTCTTCTGAGTTTCCCCTTTTGGGAAGTTTTGCATCAATACACTCTTTACTTACCCTTTTTGTATATCTCTCTCTTTCTCTCTCGATTTCATTGGGTTTGTTATGTATACGAGGATTGGTGTTTTTTCATGTGTTTGTTATTAAGAGACTTGTTCTCATGAATGAAGCTTCCTTCTTAATGAGTTAATGAGAAACTTCCCAGAACTTAAGTACTCTTAATGGAAAAGGAACACTAATATTATTCATCAATTAGGTAAGTAATACTCTTTTCCAGGTTTTGAAACAAATACATCGGCCATGTGGTCATATCGCATACATTGTGTTATGCCTGATCAAAAGAAATGAAGTAAGGACGGCCAAGAACAAAAAAAAAAAACGAAGGATGATCTCTAATAGTTTCTTTAAAAAATGTGTCCTGTGTATAGTTGCTTAGTTATCATATGAACAGTATAACTTGGATTTGCTTAATCATTTCTGGACTCTACCATGTCATTGTATAATCCTCCCCTTGTCTTTCTGTTTGTTTAGTTTCTTCAGCTAATGAATCGTTGAGTTTGCGATTTCCTTGAGATACTGCTTCTCGGAACTTGCCAATCGGCTTTGAAACATTGTCCATTCCCGTTTACATCTGTCTCTCACCTTTGCAACAAAACCATATAACCATCATCAATTAGTAACACAATAAACCGCAAATTCTATGTTACATACTGATGTTTCAAAGTTCTTACCCCTTGCCACCCTGCTTTACCATCTTGTGCCTCTCCCTGGTAAAAAGAAAACCAAAAAAATATGAATCAATATATGATGAACAAAACAGAAAACTTGTAATGAACTTGAGAAGGTATTATCAAGAACCTGGCTGCCTAAAGAAGGAAGAGATTGATGAATAATCCATTGAGAATCCACAACTCCTATCTTCTCATGTGCAGGCTGTTTGTTATATTAGGAAAATTTTTAGTAGATAACCAAACATATGTCCAATGTTTTTAAGAATCAAGGTATGTAGGCAAAATGATTAACCTCGACGCATTTACGGAGTGCAAAATCAAGACCCCAACCGTGAACCAAGTCGTTCTGAATCATATGCCACACGCAACGCCAGGCATCTCTTGAGAATACAGGAGCCATAATCTCTATAAACCTATAAGAATATCAAGTGGTATCAAGAGTATTGTATAGATTTATGTTTTTGTAATGAACATTTGAGACTACGTACGCAGCACAGGGAGGCAAGTGAGGGTCGTTGCATCGACCTGGTTTCTCCTTGGCATCTCTGGTGATTAGATTTTGCAGAAAGAAAATGATTAGTTACTTAAAGTTTTCGCCTTTTGATGTTTGGAATTGTAAAGTTGCTTACTTGTGAACTTCTCCTTTGGTTTTTCTCTTTGTTATCTCCCACGTGATCTTTTTTTTAGACTCCACAGCAGGCTGCGATATCTCTAGACCGTGTTTCTTTATCAGCCTGATGTACCTGCAGAAAAGATAGAAGCACATATTCACATTTTCTGGACTAGGATTCATGCGGCAATTTAAAAACCTTTTGTTAGAAATGAGCAAGAAGACGCACTCTTCTACATCGAAGTTTTCAAGGCCGAGGTCTTCATCCCAGATGAATACATAGTCATAAGGTGCCACGATGTCAGGATGCAGAAACCGTTTAGCATACCACCTTGTGATGAAAATCATAAGCAGTGAGATTCAATGGTTCAACAAGCTAGCCTCATGAAAACTGGAGTAGTTAGAGCAACGTATAGTTATGTTTACCATTTGGTTTGCTTTGGCACGCTCACGTGTATTGCGCGTTTGGACCATTCGAATTCGTCCCATTCTGTGGTTCGTCCATCGTAGTGGAAGAGGACAATAGTGAAATCTTCTGAAAACTGCAGAAAAAAGAAGAAGAAAGACTCTAAGCTTTTTTCAGATAGAGAAGAGAGCCAGCATCAGATTTTACCTTCTTGACACAAGCATCAACGTTTACTTTCTGACCAAAACCGACAGTAAAAGCAATGAGATACTTTGGCTTCACAGGAACATCCTAAAGAAGTAAGAAATAAAAACAAACCCACGATCAGACAATTCAATGCTGTTGGAAAGATGAGATTTTTATCCAAAAGATGAAAAGGTTCTTAGGAGGAAACACTAAAGGAACATTATATTACCTCCTCAGGTAATCCCCAAAGTCTGCGTATGTAGTAATCTGATTCAGATGCAATGATACCAGGAGTCAGCATCTCTGCACCTCGGGGATTCGATGGAACCCAAATCTGCAGAATCCTCATCAAAATTAGTATACAAGATCTTGTCACTATCACTAAAAGATCAAAGAGAAAGAAATAATGCCTTCCAATGCGGTGCATCACTCGAATTAGCCCTGTGTAATGGAGTCCTAGATGACCATGTATGTAAAAGCGTTTCACTCGATGTTTCTGGTGTCTCATCTTCTACGTAAGCAATATCAACTGAGGGAAGAATGCCAGAGGGAAAATTGATCTGAAAGTTATCAAGTTGGCACATGAAACACATTAAGCATAAAGTCTTGAGAGAAAATAGGAACAAAATGCTAAAGATATAGCTCACTTTTGTTAGTGATAATGTAGGGAAAGATATCCCCAAGAAGAAACCGATAACTATTCCTACGAATGTTGCTATAATGAGTCTCATTCCATCATTTGGCTTTTTACCATTCGAACTGCAAACAAAGAAGTAACATACAAACTCATTTTTCTATTGTGATCATCTTAAAACATGAATCAAGCAATGAGCTCAGGATATTGGTGAATCTTCTAACCAGCGATTCGAATTGTCTGTTCGATTAGCCATGTCCTGAATCCGATTAAGTTCTCCAAGAACAATACATTCAATGGAAACTTCAGTCTCTGGAAATCTCTTATCTGCATCACAAGGAGATTGAACATGAATAAAAATGTAATCTTTAGATTCAGATCCATTCCTCAAATGAATTCAAGTAGAAAGATTTACAAGTTAGTGAGAAGAAGTTAAAAAAAACTAGTGAGCTGGGAATATTTAGCTTAAAGCTACAAAAGAGCAAACATCACCAAAAATGGAAAATTTGAGATAACTCTGTAACAATTGCTTCCTAATTAAAACATAAACATCGTTTACACTTGTGAGATCGAAATCTGATGCGATTCAATAACAGAGCAAGATGTGTAAGCATATTGAAATCTCTTTCATTAAACAATCAAAATTCCAAAATCCTAAAGATACAAGTTAAAGCAGATCCATGTCATGGATTAGAGATTTACTTCAAAAAGAAAACGTTGGTACTACTTACTGGCAAGTAAACAAAGTTACGAACTTTGAGCTATTTGGGAGAAGACAAAACCTAAAGACGAAGACTCAGATTTGGACATAAGAAGGGTAATCTCTACTCGAGTAACAGAAGTAGTAAAATCACGTTACGAACAAATAAATGAGACGAGAGAACCAACGGAAAATTTTTAGTCGGAGAAACAAAAGTTTCAGTAACGGAGCAAGATCGTTGAATAACGTAAAAAAGGATGTAACTTTAAGCAATAAACTCAATTACCCAGAAGAGTGAAATGAATCAAATCTCAGAAGAAGCCGTCGTCTTTGAAAAGTTTCTGATGAACTTGACTGAGAATTGTTGTTTTTTTGGTCTAGCGGGTTAATAAAGGATGGAGAGATAAAAATTAAAAAAGAAAACAGAGAGGATGTTTGCCCCAAAAAAAAAAGAAGAACAGCGAAGTGTTTTTGAATTGATCCCATGTGACGCGACTTACGGGTTTATGTAGGTCAAGAGAAAGTTGACTTTTTGACTTGGCTTGTGAAGACACTAAAGTCTAATGATCTAGGGTTGCAAACGCTCATTATGACCCAATGATCTAGGGTTGCATTTGCAGTCATGAAAGAAACACATTTTGGCTACATTGACCATGAACAAAGAATCAAAGGTTGTAACATTTCTCACGACAACCTCTCTTTCTTCTGTTAGGAATCATGAGCTCTTCGAAATGACGATTTTTTTTGTTGATTTACCTTGGATCAAAGCTCATATTTTTCGGATATGTTATATATACATATCTGAATTTACTAGGTTTTAATACTATGTGAAGAATCGTGAGCATCTAACTTAATACTAGTTGACAATATACATAATTTATACGTTAGTTAACTTACCTTCTTCAAACATATAGAACAAAGTGACTCCATGGCCCAATGGATAAGGCGCTGGTCTACGAAACCAGAGATTCTGGGTTCGATCCCCAGTGGAGTCGTTTTTTTTAACACTATTTCATGGCATTTAGTTTATTGTGTAGATCATCTTATTCATCTTCAAATCTAATAAGCTATGGAACATGGTGAATAAGTAGATACCCTTTTGAAGCTGTAAACTAAGAGAACCTTTCTTCTTTACGACAATGTTCTTTTACCTTTCAAGTCTTCTTTATTGCTTAACATGATTGTCAAGCTATGTGCAACGAATCCCAAAATGTGAAATCTCACTTTTAACCAAAATGACAAAGCCTTGACTATAAACAAAGCTACACACATCTGAAATAGAAGATGACTGTAGTGGTAAATAGAATTTTTAAACAGAGAAGAAGAACAGAACAGAGTCTCTGTCTCCAAAAATTCTGAAGACACATCAATTGTCACAAGTCTTGCGCTCTGCCGTTTCACGAGCAAATGACCCAAAAAAAACAACAAGATGAAGAAACCATTAGGCTTTCAATTCTGAAGATGAACCAATAAAAAACAAAAACAAAAAAACCCCTAAAATTAGGTTTTTAAAAGGAGATGAATTTTTCTTATTAATATTATTGAAGCTTCTCTCTTATCTGTCTTCTCCAAAATCTGAGAATGGTGTGTCAACCAAACTCTAATCTCATTCCACATCCATCCTTAGTTTCCTTTTTTTACCATCCTTCCCTTGACGACGATGACCTGTGAAACCCGAAAATTTCAAATGTTAGTTCACTCGCATCTCAAGATCTTGATACATAGATGCAAACATCATTAGGAATGACTCAAGTTTGGATCTTCGTACTAAAGTCAGCATTCATTCTAAGTTTTTAGACTTTTGGGTTCATGTCAAATCCAGATAAGTAGGAAGCTTCTGAATGAGGAATACAAGTATATTGTAAGTCTGTTCTTTGTAGTGGGATTGAATCAGATGTTAAAAGACTAACCTGTCGAAGTTTCTGTTGCTGAAGAATCCACGCTCCTTGCTTCCTTGGAAGTTTCTTCGATCATCTACTGGTCTTGGCCAATTATCGCCTGTGCCACGTGATCTAGGTCTTTCCATGGATTCGACGTTCCTAGACTCATCGATTGATCCAGCCCGTGAATGAGGTCTTTCTGAATAGGAACCGGCTCTGCTTGCACTGGATCCAGGCCTCTCAACTGCTCGTGGCCTGAACCTGACTTTGTCGTCCAGTTCACGGATCAGTAAGTCCAGGTCCTTTTCTTTCTCGCGTATGAGATCCGGTAGATTTTGGTGATTACTGTCGGATTCCTGTTGAGACTCCTTGCTCTCAGGTGCAATGGCTGCTTCCTTCTCGAGTTTCTTCCGTAGTTCTTCGATCTCTTCCTTCAACATCCTCTCTCCTTCTGTTTCAGGCCTGGAATTTTTGTTTCAGAAGACAGAGATGAAAAGTGAGACCATATCTTATTAGCAGATGATCTAGAAAGTCATCAACATAATCATAGAGAAATTATTCATATACCAATGCAAGGCATCACAGAGTTCAGAACAAAAAAGTAATCGAAAGTAGACACAAAACTTCGACGAATGTGAAAGCATGCGTTAACAAAGACAAACTAAAGCGTAGAGATGAGATGCCAAAAAAAATTCAAGAGCTATCTTACTATGATTTTCTATAACTGCCCAACGAGGCTGAATAAAAAAGATAAAGGAACAAATAACGTCCAAAAAGAGCTCAGTTGAGAGAACAAACATCGATAAATTGGCCAAAGAAATGGGCAATGCACATAGTTGGTACTTCAAATGATGTGCCAAAATTTGGCACTAGGCGATGAAGCAAACTTTTAGTTGAGTGTCTAATGCCTAAGAGATGCTTAAGAGGACATCCATTCATCATGTCATCAAAAGAAAACCACGAATACACTAAAACTTAAGTAGATAAGTCATTCAATTAGTTTCCATTTTGAATTTGAAACAATATGCAGAAGTGGCAAAATTACCTAAAGTTATTACTTTGAAATTTCCTGTCCTCTATTGGTTCACCAGTTTATATCACTTATAAGATCAAACTTTCTGATTCAGTATGTTGAACAGCGGATTATATGAGAAATAATTAACATTCAAACCATGGCAACAACATAGACTTAACGTAAACCAACATTGCTCAGAGAAAATAAAGAAAATCCAAATGAATAAGGACCTGTCAACCCTGCGATGCTCGAGTTCAGAATCAATCTTGCGCCAATCTTTCCCTTGTTCCTCCAGCAATACTTCCCGAGGTTTTGCATCACCGAAAGGATTCACCTTTGGCCTCGGTTTCACCACATTCTCCACATTGTTCAATGCTGAACTCTCGGACCTGTTAGATTGAGCACTTGATGGTCTGCTCGATTGCGCGCTCGATGGTCGGCTCGTTTGTCCCTTTTTGGCCTCAATATCCGAGTCAAGTTTCTTCCAGTCCAATCCTTTCTCCGCCAAAACTTGCTCTCTCGGTCTAGCAGCTCCAAATGGGTTTGGCTTACTCGTCTTCCCTGCAGTTGGAGTTTCACTCACTCCTGCATCAACCTTTCGTGGTTCCAATACAAGACGACGACGCTCCTCCTGAACACCACCACCGGAAGGGAGGACTCCTCGGGCCCACCGGTCAGGCTCCGGTCCAGAGTCACGGAAACCCGACCCAAATGTAGATGATTTTGCTTTACCCGCTGCCCAATTATCAACCTCATCAGCTTTAGAGAATCCACCTCCACCACCAGCACCACCACCTCCTCCGCCATAACTGCCAGCACCACCACCTCCTCCACCAAAACTGCCACCACCACCACCGCCTCCAAGAGCACCATAACGACTACCTTGACGTCCTTGATCAAACGAAGGAAGCGATTTCTTTCCTTTTCCCCAATCATCATCCTCATCAGCCCTAGAAACTTGTGGGAAATCAGAAACCCTAGAATTAGATCCTCTCTGATCATCATCAAATCCGCCATAAGATCTCCTACCACCACCACCACCGCCCCAAGACCCATCAGAATCGTCTCGATCTCGTGACATTCTTCCCGGAGGTCCACTAGACCTTCCTCCACCATAAGAAGAGAATCCACCACCGAGACGACCAGGTTGCATTTCCTCCTCAGAACGTTGTCTTGGACCAGTAGGAAGCTGAAGCATCTGTTCCCTCGTCAATCCAGCAGAACTCGGAGCAGTGTATGCTCCTTGGCTAAACTCCGATAAAGTCATCTTCTTCTTCTTCTTAGAAGACTTAGCAGTCGCAGCCTCTTTCAAACTCGGGAAACTCTGAGAATCCGCCGCCGTGGCTGTAGCTTCAGCAGCTTGCTCTTCATCGGCACGCTCAGCCTCATCGGCCCATGCGCCGATTCCACCCCAAGGTTTCGACATCTGTGATTTTTCAATTCCAAATTCGGAGATTCCCCCAGATCTGAAAGAACGCACAACACAAATTGAGAGTGACGAATCTAAAGACTCCAATCAAAGTTACTGCCCTGAAATCGAATCCAATCTCAAGATTCTCTCGTCGTCGCCGAAAGATGAAATTTTTATGTAAAAATCGGATTTTTATTCCCTGGTTTGTTTGTAGGTTTCGGGACGGAGGAGCAAGGGACGGAGAAAGAGAGATAGCAATACGCGCGGTATTGGAGCGTGTGGTACACGTAGCAATCAGTTTTACGAGGAAGTTAATGGCTTGAACGTTGTGCCGTTGTGGTTCACGCGACGTGTAAGCAAGTGACGGTTGACTTGAAGAGGAAACGAACGGTCATGAGTCTTTGTTTTTAGCCGATTCTTATCAAACTAATCTTTTTTCCCACCAACTTTATGTTTTATGTGGACACCTTCACAAACATAAAGTTCTATTCCCATAAAATTTAAAAAGATCTTGAGAGTAGTAGACATGCATCGTTTTTCTCTATACATAAACCTTTACCCTTAGAAAGCTCAGCAGTGCATTAACATCATAAAAACAAAATGGCTTTCTCTACTCTTGTCTGAGTTTTTCATATCCAAAATGAAGAAAGAAGCATAAGAATTTCTTCTAGAGATGTGTACTGATTTCTTAAATCTCTTTCTGAGATCTGAGATAGTTCATTACGGGACCCATAGCACTGCCTCGCAGTGCCTTGTAAGACCATGAGCCTCCTCCACTTGAACTCCCTTTCTTGTTCCACCCATTGTTGGCCTGAGACAACTCTGCTTTTTTCGCACTTAAAGCTTCACTTAGTTCTTCCCAAGGGTTCACTTTTCCATTTTCTGCAATTTACATAGGTCCAATGAAAGTTAATAAGACTCCATTTCAATACAATGTCGATCCAAGATTGTTGGAAAACTTACCTTTTATAGGGGTTTGCAAATCTTTGTTTGCGCTTAGCTTTAGCTTTGTAGCTGACTGGTCAGGCTCGGGCGGTGCTGACTTGGCGACTTCTGCGGAATCTGAGCTGCTAGTTTTGACACTGCGGACATCGAGCAGAGCAGAAAATTCTATCTGCAGAAGCAAAGTCTTTCTTATCTTAGAATTGTGATGCTTAGAAAGCAAACAATTACAAGAACCATATCTGTGTTCTTGTTCATAAGATATGTATGACATAATGTAAACCATGAAGCCTACCTCCAAGGACCCGTCTTCTTTATAAAGAGATGTATCAGGTTCCATGGAGAAATCGTCGTCCTCTTCTGTCTTTTTCTCGATTGGAAATTCTTGAACAGGCATCAAAGTCACCTTCTTGGAGTCTGGATCATAGTAGCTTATCTTCCCAACCTACCAAGAGAAGTATATTTTATAGGGGATAGGTTCCTCAGAATAAGAGTTGATTGATCAATTAGGCTTAAAAGGAGAGCCAGATATTTTACCCGAAAAGAGGAAACCTCGGGAGTCCAAGATGATGTTAGCTCAATGAGGCGGTATGCAATAACATCTCCTTTCTGTAAAGTTAACAAACCAGGAGTTGAGGAGTTTAAAAATGCTGAATCTATAAAACAATTTGCTGGGTGGTAGTAAATATGATAAGCAAACCTTTATTGAGCCAGTGTAAGCCACAAGCCGTTCATAATCGATCGGACCCTTAGCAAGTGTCTCTGCTTCAGCGGGCTTTGTCTGATAAGTAGTATCTTCATTGAAATCCTGAGCATATCGTTTTGAAAATCCTGTCTTCTCTGTGCCCCATTTCTGTCCTTTCTTCTTCGTCATGTTTCCATTCCACAAGAATTTTTCCTAACATTATTTAGACATGATCATTACAGATTCAGATTTGGCAAAGCTTTAAGGATACAAAGATAGGGGTAAGTCATACCGCAGGAGGTTCACTTTCAAGGGGAGCTTCATCTGTTCCAGCTGAAAAATAAGCATATAAGGGAGTGAGGCGTCTTACAAACGCACAAAAGCTATGTAGAGAGAAATTTACATAATAATTTACCGAGCGGCTTGAAGCGAATGTGACCTGGCCTCACTTCCACAGGAACCACTTCATCCCCGACACCATCACTAAGTTCATCTGGCTGTTGACTTTCAAGAGTTTCACAGTGATTTTCCTCAGTTGCTTGGTAATCTATAGTGATGACTGGTTTTTGACTGGGTGCTACAACCAACTGCTTCTGTTGAAGCTGCAAATTGTGTAACAAGAAAGAAGATATAAGTGTTGAAGTGAAGACTGTACATCACTAAAACACGTGATGGATACATAAATCTTATCATTTAAAGTTTTGAAGTATTTGACGAAGAACCTCTTCCTTCTCTAGTTTTGTTTTCTCTCTCAACCATTGCCGTTTCGCCTTTTTACGTCGAGCACTTCTGCTAGGTGTCTAAAATAAAAATAAGGAAGAGTTACATTCCTTATTACAAAGAAGGATCGATAGGAAGCTAATGGAGTAAATGAAACAAAAAGTCAATCCCTCCATCTACAAACATCAAGAAATTTCACACTATACACACATTGTTCATTCTAATTCCTTTCGACAACTAAGTAAACTCAAACCTTTTTAGTTTCAGCAGATAGTTGGCACAGATCGTTAGGCTCTTTGCTCTCTTCTTCTTGCAACAACCTGCAATCTCAAAAGCAAGGGAATGGAAAATGACTAGTTAGAGATGAGTCAAGAGGATTAAAGATTCACAAGCGAGTTTTGACAAAGCAAAAGTCTATGTACCTCTTTGAATTGGCCATGGGCTTGGTGTTACCGTTATCCTGTTCATCATTTTCAGCTCTTTGTACATCCGATGATCTCTTTTTCTTCTTCTTCACAACATTGCTAACAACAGCTATGTTTTCTCTTTCCTCGGGAGATTCCTCAGTAGTAGCTAACTTACACTTCTTCCTCCTACATCATCATCAAACGTGAATAACAAAAAATACACATTTAGGTGACTAAGAATAAGTTCTAGTAGAGATCCTACTTGGAGCTTAGGCTTTTGCTGGAAGCTTTACGTTTCTTAGAAGTCTTCTTCTCTGGCACAAACTCTTCTGCTTCCTCTTCAACCTCATCTTCCTCAGATTCACTTTCATATCCTCCAGTTTCCTTCTGGAACTCCTCATTAGCAAGAAGCATTTCACCAGGACGAATCTGAGGCCTTTCCTCAACCTCAATAGCGTTGTCAACATTATCCTCGCTGTCTTCCCCAACAATCTCCAACAAAGACCCTTTCTTCTTCTTAACACTACATGAAAAAAACGCAAAATTTAACACTAATGATACTTCATAAAGCTCAAAGGAAAAAGCTTTAAGGGATTGATGAAACTAACCAAACGATATCTTTATCCTTCAATACACTGCTCGACTCGAATGGTGGCAAAACGAAACCATCCATCTGAAAGACCCGAAAGATAATGTAAGCATTAATGGCGTCAACATTGACGAATTTGATTCTACTGAAATTAGGGCAAAAACAAGTAACCGTACAGATAGAGTAAGGCCATGAGGACAAGCTTCACAGAGGCTGAATGTGCGAAAGAGATGATTAGAAAACTCTGATACAGTTCGGTGACATTTACGATTCAGAACAACCCAGCTCCGTGTTAAACCTTGCTTCTTCTGATACTTACTAAGAATCCGTCGGTCTTCAAACACCAGACGAATCCTCACCTTCTCTTCCTCCATCGTAGACGAACTTCAGACAAGTAGAAATGAGAGAAATTTCGCCAAAGTTTTGATCTTTCGGAAAAAATCCTTAAACCCTGTCCTGAGCTCCAAGACGGAGGACGGAGGAGGACGAGGAGCAAAAGGAGAAAATTAAAGCCAAACCTAACACTCTCGTTCACAGAGAGGTTTTCGTCAAATATTATTGGGCCTTATTTAAAGCCCATTAAAAAAGCCTCAGATTAATAATGTTGGAGCCTTCGTCTTCTTGTTTTTTCCCTCTAGCTTAAGCTCAAACACCAGCCGTCGTCGTCGATCTGATGTCGCCGCATTGAAACAAAGAAGAGGCAACGGTGATATGATCATATGCGTCGAGCTCTGATATGCATCAGACGCTGGGCGCAGTACGCCTTGCATACCGCTCGCGTATAGCTAACCTCGTGAAATCAGGTATGATTGACAACGCTGTTCAGGTGTTCGATGAAATGCGTCACTCAAGCTACCGAGTTTTCTCCTCCGATTATAATCGTTTCATCGGGGTTTTGGTTAAAGAGTCTAGATTTGAGCTTGCTGAGGCAATATATTGGGATATGAAGCCAATGGGTTTTTCTCTCATTCCCTACACTTACTCGAGGTTTATCTCGGGTTTATGTAAAGTTAAAAAATTTGAGCTTATTGATGCTCTTCTGAGGGATATGGAAACCCTTGGATTCATACCAGATATCTGGGCGTTTAACATTTATTTGGATCTGTTGTGTCGAGAGAATAAGGTTGGTTTTGCTGTTCAGACGTTCTTTTGTATGGTTCAGAGAGGTAGGGAACCTGATGTTGTATCTTATACTATACTTATTAATGGGTTATTTAGAGCTGGTAAGGTCACTGATGCTGTTGAGATTTGGAATGCAATGATTCGTAGCGGGGTTAGTCCGGATAATAAAGCATGTGCAGCACTTGTTGTTGGGTTATGTCACGCTCGGAAAGTTGATTTGGCTTATGAGATGGTGGCGGAGGAGATCAAGAGTGCAAGAGTTAAGCTTAGTACAGTGGTGTATAATGCGTTGATTAGTGGGTTTTGTAAAGCGGGTAGAATAGAAAAGGCAGAAGCTTTAAAATCATTTATGAGTAAGATTGGGTGTGAGCCGGATCTTGTTACATACAATGTCTTGTTGAATTATTATTATGATAACAATATGTTGAAGAGAGCGGAAGGGGTGATGACTGAGATGGTAAGAAGCGGGATACAGCTTGATGCATTTAGTTATAACCAGTTGCTTAAGCGGCATTGCAGGGTTAGTCATCCTGATAAATGCTATACCTTCATGTTAAAGGAGATGGAGCCTAGAGGTTTCTGTGATGTTGTCTCCTACAGTACTCTGATTGAAACATTCTGTAGGGCGTCAAACACTAGGAAGGCTTACAAGCTCTTTGAGGAAATGAGACAGAAGGGGATAGTAACGAATGTGGTTACGTATACGAGTCTTATCAAGGCTTTTCTTAGGGAAGGTAACTCTAGTGTTGCCAAGAAGCTCCTCGATCAGATGACAGAGTTAGGTCTGTCGCCAGACCGCATTTTCTACACGACAATCCTGGATCATTTGTGTAAATTCGGAAATGTCGACAAGGCTTATGGTGTTTTTAATGACATGATAGGGCACGGAATTACACCGGATGCGATTTCATACAATTCCCTTATTAGTGGCCTCTGCAGGTCTGGTAGAGTAACTGAAGCTATAAATTTGTTTGAAGACATGCAGAGTAAAGGATGTTGTCCTGACGAGTTAACCTTCAAGTTCATTATCGGAGGACTCATACGGGCAAAAAAATTATCAGCAGCCTACAAGGTCTGGGATCAGATGATGGATAAAGGATTCACGCTTGATAGGGATGTGTCCGATACCCTCATCAAGGCTAGCTGTTCAATGAGTGCTGATGTGTAGGCATAATAAAGGGATAGATTTTTAAAATTGTCCAAATTGCCCTCTCCTGTGCAAAAATGCTATCATAGTCAATATTATGGCAGCACAGAGATGCTGATACAGAGCCATTAAAACCTCTACTGTTGCCTGCTGTTGCTCAGAGAGAAAGAAGAAACTTATCAGGTTTGAACGAATTTCCTTCCTTTTTACATAAGCGAATCCATGGTATAGTTTACGTAGACCAACTATATCTTTACGTTTATTACTCGTTTCATATTCCTTACATCTTTGGAATGTGAACCAACTCTACCCTGCCTTGTCCCTGTTGCAGCTGACATTATGTGCTCCAGAAGGATCATTATTTGTGGTCAGATTATGGAACAAGACAACCAGCTCTCTTGCGTTGACTCAGTTTTAACCCAGTCCTCAGAAATATTAGACTGAGGACTCAGCCTATTGGACTGAGAAAAGGATCTTCCTTTATTATGCTTAGGCACATCAAGCTTATTGATACTTGATATGAGAAGCATGGATTCCTCCTTCGATGGTACGCTTGTAGAACTTTTTTTTTTGCACCACGCTTGTAGAACATAACTCCACTGTCAGATGCAGTCTCGTTAGGTGTCATGTTGGAATATATGCTACCAATGAGGTTTTGGATCTTGATATGCCAAGAGTTTAAGACGTAACTGATATATGCTCATGCTGCCGCAAGAAGCTGCATCTTAAAAGGCTGAAAGCCAAAAGGTTAGCTCAGACTTTATCTCACTAGTGTATTGTTAGTTTTGCAGAACTTTGTTTCAGAACGTGCCAACCTTTTTTTTTTGGTCATGATTCTGCATATTTTCATAGACTGACATATTCAATAACAAAATCAAGCTTTGTCTGGATCCCTATTGATCGTGATTTTTGTTCAATTATATTGTTTTTGTGTGAGTTTCTTCAGCGGCTCTCAACACTATGCTTCAGTCATCCCATTTACTATATATTTTATTATGTGTAGTAATGCAGAACTAAGCCTTTATAAGTGCGAGACAGGATGGGGAAGGAAGACACAAACGTTATAAAACAGAGCGGCTATTAATCTTTACCATAATCAGGAACCTGTAAGTTGTTACCTTTCTCTCTCCTTTTCTCTCCAAGAATCATATTGAATTTCTTGGTACTGTAACCAAAAAAAGAAGAGAATTTGGACCCGGTATTTGCATTTTCTGTTTCAAAACTTTTAGATGAGAAATAAGAGATGATGGTTCTAGTTTTGCTTGCTTGAATATGAAGAAAGATTACTTGCTTCCTCGTGTCAGTTTCCTTTAACATAAGAATCCTACTTAAACTTCTCATCAAGTAATCATCTCTCTCATTTAGAAACACTCAAAAATTTTCTCTCTTTATTGCTTTCACTTAACTCTTTTATCCTTTAGTTGCTACTTCAATGTCTCACCACCACTATGAAACCAACCCTCATTTCGTTCAGTTTTCCTTGCAGGATCAACATCCCGGTGGTCCTTCTAGCTCATGGAACTCTCCGCACCATCATCAGATCCCACAGGCTCACTCAGTTGCTCCACCGAGGGTGAAAATAAAGACTCGGGAACGCCAGCAGACCGAGCCACCTGAAACAATCCATGAATCACCTTCCTCAAGACCCTTGCCACTGAGACCGGAGGAACCATTACCACCACGCCATAATCCAAACTCTGCCAGGCCATTGCAATTGAGCCCTGAGGAGCAACGACCTCCACACCGTGGCTATGGATCTGAACCAACTCCATGGAGAACAGCTCCAAGACGACCAGTGCATCAACCTGGTCCTAAGAGGACCAAACCCATGACATTGCCAGCCACAATCTGCTGTGCAATGCTCCTGATCGTCCTAATTTTATCTGGTCTCATTCTCCTCTTAGTCTACCTCGCCAACCGTCCACGCTCACCATACTTCGACATCTCAGCAGCAACCCTAAACACCGCCAATCTGGACATGGGATATGTTCTAAATGGAGATCTCGCTGTTGTGGTAAACTTCACAAACCCAAGCAAGAAAAGCAGCGTGGACTTCAGCTACGTGATGTTCGAGCTCTACTTCTACAACACACTCATAGCGAGCGAACACATAGAGCCATTCATTGTACCAAAGGGAATGTCAATGTTCACAAGCTTCCATCTCGTCAGCAGTCAGGTACAAATTCAGATGATTCAGAGCCAGGACTTGCAGCTGCAGCTTGGAGCCGGTCCAGTGTTGTTGAACTTGAAAGGAACGTTTCACGCTCGCTCGAACCTCGGTTCGTTAATGAGATACTCTTATTGGTTGCACACACAGTGCAGCATCTCGTTGAATACTCCTCCTACAGGGACATTGCGAGCAAGAAGATGCAGTACAAAACGCTAGCGATTTGCAGCATTCTGACTAAATAAATTGCTTCTTTTCTTGATACATTTGATGATAATTTAGGCAAATAGATTGATTTTGTATTTTGAATAATAGAATTGATCTAAAATTGTATGTAATTTGATAATATCAATAGAGATGAAGATATGTTATCTAAAAATCCATAGTTATTTATTTTGATTATAATGTTGTAGCTAGCTTTAATTATGTAGAAAGAAGATCTTATATTACTTTTGTAAAAGTGAAATATGTGCGAATAAAGTGTTTAACTTTGTGCATGCTACACGAAAAGAAAAAGGATATATCCCCTAAAACAGTCATTACTGAGAAATATCATAAGAACAAAAATTTCTTGAAAAATTATTGCAATACTAAATTAACATTCGTCAACACTTGTATATTACATTTTAAAAATATTATGAATACATAACACTACACCATATAAAATTTACTAAATAATATTCGTAGTTAATATATTTCTATGAATTTAATAAAATGTATCATACATAATATAGTTTATTTATTATCATGTTTATTTCAGTTCAAACCACTGATAAGAAAAAGTGATCGGCCCATTTAATTGATAGCCCAATATGATTTTTCAGAGTTATGGCCCATATTTGTGGTTTGCCCGGAGCTCAAGAAACGATCGCTATGTTTCTTCTTCTCGTCGTCGTTTGTCACTTTAGAGCTACTTCTTCTTCTTCTCTGCTAAACCTTTCTCTCGATTTGATTACTTTTCTTCAGTAAGGTACGTTTCCGATCCTTAAATTGAGCTCTGGTATCGTTGATTTGTCTTGTAAATGAAGATGAGGGTTTAGGGTTCTTATACAGACACCAATGTATCTCATGCTAGATCTGATTTGAAGTTTTGAGAGAAAAGCTCTTTAATTGACATCTGATTTGGTTTATCTCATTCTAGATTAGCTGATTTTTTATTTAGCTTCTCCGATTTTTGATGGGTACTTGTATCTATTTTTCAATTTGGGAATTTTCATGATTCTGTAGGGTTTGCAAAGATGAAGCTTGATACTAGTGGGTTCGAGACTTCCATGCCTATGATTGGATTTGGCTCGAGCAGTGATATGCTTGATGAGCTTTCTTCTGTGCCCTCGTTTGATCTACCTCGTACAAAAGAGGTGATTTTTTTTTTTGATTCGAAGCAGTGTGGGTGGAATTTTCCATGTTGCTTTAATTTGATTACGAAACTGGTTTTTGTGTTGGTTTCAGTTTGATGGATTTCAGAAAGAAGCTAAAGACATGTTGAAGCATGCAAAAGGAACAACCACTCTCGCTTTTATCTTCAAAGGTGGTGTTATGGTCGCTGCTGATTCTCGGGCTAGCATGGGAGGATATATTTGTATGTTCTCTTTTATCACTTTACTTTTACTTTTGTGTGCATACTTTGATGTTGTTTAGCTGTGAGCTCTCTGAAGAATTCCTCCAAAAATATGCATCCTTTCGATATAGTTGACTGTGGTAGAAACGCTATTACAATGAAGATTAAGTTAGCTTGGTGTTGGTTTAGTTTTGTGCTGGATTGTCAAACAAATTTCGAGTCTCCATTCTGTTAGCCATTGATTGTGAATAAGTAGAGGAAAGGAAACGTTTGTGTGATTTTTGCTGATTTTTTAAATCTGTTTTCCTCATTCAGCCTCACAATCTGTGAAGAAGATTATTGAAATCAATCCGTATATGCTCGGTACGATGGCTGGAGGAGCTGCTGACTGCCAATTCTGGCACAGAAATCTTGGAATTAAGGTACCTAGCTCGAATTTTTTTTGGCTGTCTGAACTAATAACTTGGATCTTTGATTAATCTTCCTTTCTGTGGATATCGGGAATCTTGCTGCCTTGTTCTTATTTTGATTTTTTATATTTCTAAAAGCAGCAGATTCATTTACCTTATCAAATACTTTTCTGTCTATGTTTAAGAATGACAATGATTTTGCTTGTTTGATGGTGACCCTAAGATCATACAAGTCTCTTTGAATGCTAAGCATGCGACTTTAGTTGAGCATGTGGTGGCTTTAGATCCCTTTTCTTGAATCAAACATTTCCGTAGCAATAAAGTTCAGCTTCTTTTATTTCGCTCTACTTAGATAGCAACTAAATAAAGAACTTAGTTTGATGAATGCAATATGATACAGTTTCTCTTCATTTAAGTGAATAAAGAGCACTTAGTTATTGTGTCTAAAAAGTTTGGATGTTAATACCATTGTAGACTTCTTCAATTTATCACCAAAATCTCGTTTGTTGATTCTATGGCTAATCTCTTAATTTATTTGTCTATCCAAGTGCCGTCTACATGAGCTGGCAAACAAGAGGAGAATCTCTGTGTCCGGAGCATCAAAACTACTTGCGAACATGCTCTATTCATACCGTGGAATGGGACTTTCTGTTGGCACAATGATTGCTGGATGGGACGAAACTGTCAGTAATACCAACTTCATATCTTTAACACTGTTATTTTCTTCCCACTCAGAAGGAAAATTTGAAATGCTAAATCCTGACTTCTTGTATAATAGGGTCCTGGACTATACTATGTCGACAACGAAGGAGGACGGCTCAAGGGAGACAGGTTTTCAGTCGGTTCTGGTTCACCATACGCTTACGGTGTACTGGACAGCGGGTAAATCATTTCCCAAACAATATCTTCATCGCTTATGTCCTAATCTCAAAGGCTTATAACCAAAATCTAATGATGTTACTTAAGCAACCGTTTCATATTAATGATTTTACTTGTATCATTAGGTACAAATACGATATGTCAGTTGAAGAAGCTTCGGAGTTAGCGAGGAGATCAATCTACCATGCGACATTCCGTGATGGAGCCAGTGGTGGAGTTGCTAGCGGTTAGTAATCCTAATGCATTTGTGGTTTAAATGTATTATTAAACTTTCAAGATTCTGATTTAGCTAATAATTTTGGTCTCTTCTCATATGATCAGTGTACCATGTTGGTCCCGAAGGATGGACGAAACTATCAGGAGATGATGTTGGGGAGCTACACTACCACTACTACCCCGTGGCACCAGCTACCGCAGAACAAGTCATGGAGGAAGCAACAGCCGAGTAAAAGACATGTTTAGTTTTCTAATCATTCACTCCCTTTCCTGTTGTTGCATTTGTGGTAGTACATACTGAGTTGTCTCTAGCTGAAGCTTTGGTATTCTATTTTACTGATCTGAAATGTTGCTCGCAACTTATTCTCTATGAGATTCTCTTTTTTCTGCAATCACATGGTCTCAAACATCAATTTAGGGAATTTTAATATTTTTGCACAAATTTTAGTTAATTTGTTATTATATTTATCCTAATCGAAAATAACTGCTAAGGTTAACTACCATGGCCAGTGGCTGGTCAGTTTGCCGCCGGCTATACTAATCTTTGTTCATATGTTCCTAAAGGATCTTGGATCCTTCCCGTTTGGAGGGGGGTCTCCCTAGTTGCCCTTGACGCAAATATTGTTTCTCTGCGATTGCAAGAGGTTTGGCGGAAACACTCTAGTAGAAATGCTTCATTCCCGTGGCATCATTTCAGCCCTGAAGGGTTTGCAAATAGTTCTGTAGATTTTCGAGGACAATACCGTTTGGTGCTGGTCGAAGGATCTGTCCCGCGATGTCAATGGCGACTGCCACCATGGAGCTGACTGATGAATCTGCTTTACATTTTCGATTGGAGATTGCCTGATGGGATGAAAGAAGTTGAAAACTACCTCTTGAAAAAAAACACGCTTTTCATTGTTATCGAGTTCAAAATTCAAATACTATTGAAGTACCCTATAATAAATGATACAAATCCATGTGAAGTCAAGGCTAAGTTCACATTCATATAAAATCATGACTCATGAGCTACGAGAGGTCAATAATATACAAAATCCAAAACCTACATTTCTTGCACGTTATATAGCCTAAATTGTTGTGCCAGTTAGGTGATTTTAATTAAGTTATCTTCTCTACTTAGTTTGGATATATGCATGTGGTGTCCACCACGTAACGTGGTTTTAGGGTTATTATTTTACTAAGTGGTTATTGATAGTAGTTACTAATTAAGACTTTAGGAATCAGGCGATATATTAGGTCAAACATTTTGTCTCCAATTATTTGTTGGATGGCATCACTTTTTGTTATGACCAAGTTAGAAATTTTGTATTTCTCGTGGCAACCACATCATCGAGATGTCACATTTCAACACTAAGGACGTGACCTCTATCGAAACAAACTTGTATAAATCCAATTCTAGTTAAAAAGTTTTGTTTGTTTGTGAATTGCGGGCACTTCAATAGCCTATAAATAGTAATATACAAAAGTAATAATGCAAAGAAACTTAGATCTATCTAAAAAAAAAAAAAAAAAAAAAAAAATGCATAGCTATCGTTTTTAAAGACAGTCTTCAATGACAGCGGAGAAACAGATTTGTTAAACAGTCTGTCCATTTAGACTTCACTGAGCACCCCTAGGGACAAAAACAAATTTTCTGATAAAATAAACATAACTATTTATTAAAGCCGTAATTGAAAAGCTTTAAAAGGTTCTTTCATATGAAAGAACCTGCTTTATTCATTATTAAGACACAAACCGCTAGAACTTAGTCGTCTACAAAGGTAAGCACCACGAACAAAGGTCAACTGACCCCCCTAGTTGTACGTTGCCTCCGCCACTGCGCTGTGCTGTGGGTCAGTTTCGGGGCGGGGGGCGCAGAGATATCCATGCGCTTCATATTCGCATGGAGTTTGCTCCCAGAAGACTCGTCATCACAAGAAAGGGTGAGTGGCCTTAGCCCAGCTTTTCTGAGGTGTTCCCAGTGCAGACGCGCGAGCGTGGCGTAGGCAGGCCAATTCCTGGCATGATGGTCTAGATTGTTGAAGTCTGGGTCTGCTTTTTTGAAGTAGTTAAAAGCACATCCTAAGCCTTTGACCTTAGCAAGGATCTCAATATAAAGTGCAAACTCGGAGGGAGTAAATTCAACCTTCTTCGCATCCATAGAGTCAAAGAGCTACAAAACGAATTAACCCATTAATCCAAAAGAAGGAAGAACAAACCTTACTTAAATGATGAAGAATAAATTACATGTAGGGCGAGTTCATGTTTGCCTTCCTTGTGAAGGCTATTCACCCAGCTCATGAGGTTGTCTTTGCCTTCGTTTGGATCTGATGGCGATGTCGTCGCCGCCGTCTCACCAGATTCCGTTGTAGAAAGAGCCCTTGTCGTCCATCGAAGACGAGCGATGACGCCAGAATCCGAGGGTCTGGGAAACAGAGCGGGACGTGTTGCGGACTTGTGCAAGAGATGAAGAGAACCTGCTGCGATGCGGCGGAAATTCATCATCATTCTAACCCTAGCTAAATGTCGCAACACAAACCCTATTCTTATTTGATACTCGCAACTCTCAATTTGGGCCCTTCGTATTTGGCCCGTCCCGGCTACCCTCTTATGCACTTTGAATACTAAGCCGACTCGGGACAGCGGAAACCGTAATGGGAACACACAGTTTCTTTTTTTAGAGTAACTAGGGTGTGTCAAAGGTATTTTTTTCCTGTTGATTTTGTATGTGTCAAATTATTGGGTGCAACATTTGTTTTCTAAACTTTATAGACAAGTATATATATATAGTACTGAGTTTGTTCAAATTCCAGCAGTGGTGGAGGTAATTTAAATTATGTTGTTTCTCTCACCATTGTTACTTTTTTTTTTTTTTTTTTTTTTTTTTTTTTTTTTTTTTTTTTTTTTTTTTTTTTTTTTTACCATTGTTACTTTGACATAAAGTAGGGCTTGGATTTTGGCAATTCTTCATACTAAGAAGGATAGAGTTATAATAACTTTAGAGGATAAAAAAAAAACACATAAGCTTTTACCCATCTAATCTGTGGTCTCATATAGTCATATGGTTTAGATAAAGACATAAGCTTGAACAATAAGCTGCAAGTAAACAGTCCAAAAAAAAACTGAATCAACCAAAGATTCATAAATAGACATTAAGAATCACATCTTTTTCCTTTTTTTCTTTTACCTCTTGTACTCTATGTCCAGCTCGAGCAAGCAATTTGTATTGGTTCTCAAACATTGGAGCCATGTAAACCTACAAAGAGAGAAAGAAAACAAAACCAGAGATCTCAGATTCCGATCAAAACAGTGTTAAAGTCTCAGCGGTTTGGTCTGTTAGATGTTTTCGTGTTTAATATATGCATTTAGGCGATCAAACTGTGTATACCTGAAACGTTGGAGCAAGACCGCGGACGTGGATCCAGGGGTCGGAGAGGACGCGGGAACGCTGGTCGTGGCTAGCTGTCTTGTACTGTCTCAAAATCCAACCGTAGCGGATGATTCGGTTGTTCGCTTTATTTTACTTTTAATGGTCGTGTAACGTTCAACTTTTGGATTGCCGTTTCGGTAATCCTTAATATAATATATAATTTAAAAAAAAAAAAAAAAAAAAGAAAAAAAAAAAAAAAAAAAAAAAAGACCCGGGCTCAAGAAGAATCGACTTTTTGAAACTGATTGGATTCCTTCAACCATTTCCAGCTCTTTGATCAGAGATTCCACATCAGGCCACTGTAGAAGAAAGTTTACAGAACCCCGTAACAATGGTGTGATCACAAAAGTCATAGAAGGTCTTTAATACCTCAGCGTCGAGCTCTGCTGCTTGTAACCGTCCCCCGAACTGATCATTATCACCACCAACTACAGATTCTAAGGCTTCGGTTAGTGGATCAGGCTGCATAAAGACATCAAACGGGTTTAGATGTATATCAAATGAGTTACCGATTTCTACAAGATAAACTTTTGAGAGATCTTTCTCACCGTGATTTCTTTTAGAGTAACTAGGGTGGTGTTATGGTCGCTGCTGATTCTCGGGCTAGCATGGGAGGATATATCTGTATGTCTCTTTTATCACTTACTTTTGTGTGCAGACTTTGATGATGTTTAGCTGAAGAAGTCCTCCAAAAATATGCATCCTTTCGATATAGTTGACTGTGGTAGAACCACTAGTACGATGAAGATTAAGTTAGCTTATTTTTGGTTTAGTTTTGTGCTGGATTGTCAAACAAATTTCTAGTCTCCATTCTCCTGGCCATTGATTCTGTTGGCCATTGATTGTGCTAGGAACGTTTGTGTGATTTTTGCTGATGTTTTAATTCTGTTTTCCTCATTCAGCCTCACAATCTGTGAAGAAGATTATTGAAATCAATCCTTATATGCTCGGTACAATGGCTGGAGGAGCTGCAGATTGCCAATTTTGGCACAGAAATCTTGGAATTAAGGTATCTTGCTCGAAATTGTTTTGGTCGTCTCTGAACTGATAACTTGGATCTTTGATTAATCTTCCTTTCTGTGGTTATCGGGAATCTTGCTGCCTTGTTCTTATAGTGATTTTTTATATTTCTAAAAGCAGCAATTCAATTTCCTTATCAAATGCTTAGAGTTTTAGTTCTCTCTATATTGAAGAATGACCAAGATTTTGCGTGTTTGATGATGACCCTAAGATCATACAAGTCTCTTTGAATGCTAAGTATTCAATTTTAGTTGAGCATGTGGTGGCTTTAGATCCTTTTTTTTAATCGAACATTTCTGTAGCAATTAAGTTCTGCTTCTTTTTTTCGCTGTACTTAGATAGCAAATAAATAGAGAACTTAGTTTGATGAATGCAATGTGATACAGTTTCTCTTCATTTAAGTGGGTGTACTACTTAGTTCTTGTGTCTAAAATTTTGGCATGTTAATACCATTGTAGACTTCTTCAATTTAGCACCAAAATCGTGTTTATTGATTCTATTGCTGATCTCTTAATTGATTTGTCTATCCAAGTGCCGTCTACATGAGCTGGAAAACAAGAGGAGAATCTCTGTTTCCGGAGCTTCAAAACTTCTTGCGAACATGCTGTATTCATACCGAGGAATGGGACTTTCTGTTGGCACAATGATTGCTGGATGGGACGAAACTGTCAGTAAAACCAACTTCATATCTTCAACACTGTTATTTTCTTCCCACTCAGAAAGAAAATTTGAAATGCTAAATCCTTACTTCTTGTATAATAGGGTCCTGGACTATACTATGTTGACAACCAAGGAGGACGGCTCAAGGGAGACAGGTTTTCAGTCGGTTCTGGTTCACCATACGCTTACGGTGTACTGGACAGCGGGTAAATCATTTCCCAAACATCACCTTCATCGCTTTTTTCCTAATCTCAAAGGCTAAAAAGACCAAAATCTAATAGTTAAGCAACCGTTTCATATTAATGATTTTACTTGTATCATTAGGTACAAATACGATATGTCAGTTGAAGAAGCTTCGGAGTTAGCGAGGAGATCAATCTACCATGCGACATTCCGTGATGGAGCCAGTGGTGGAGTTGCTAGCGGTTAGTAATCCCAATGCATTTGTGGTCCAAATGTAATATTAAACTTTCAAGATTCTGATTTAGCTAATAATTTTGGTCTCTTCTCATATGATCAGTGTACCACGTTGGTCCCGAAGGATGGACGAAACTATCAGGAGATGATGTTGGGGAGCTACACTACCACTACTACCCCGTGGCACCAGCTATCGCAGAACAAGTGATGGAGGAAGCAACAGCCGAGTAATAAACATGTTTAGTTTTCTAATCGTTCACTCCCTTTTCTGTTGTTGCATTTGTGGTAGTACATACTGAGTTGTCTCTAGCTGAAGCTTTGGTATTCTATTTTACTGATCTGAAATGTTGCTCGCAACTTATTCTCTATGAGATTCTCTTTTTTCTGCAATCACATGGTCTCAAACATCAATTTAGGGAATTTTAATATTTTTGCACAAATTTTAGTTAATTTGTTATTATATTTATCCTAATCGAAAATAACTGCTAAGGTTAACTACCATGGCCAGTGGCTGGTCAGTTTGCCGCCGGCTATACTAATCTTTGTTCATATGTTCCTAAAGGATCTTGGATCCTTCCCGTTTGGAGGGGGGTCTCCCTAGTTGCCCTTGACGCAAATATTGTTTCTCTGCGATTGCAAGAGGTTTGGCGGAAACACTCTAGTAGAAATGCTTCATTCCCGTGGCATCATTTCAGCCCTGAAGGGTTTGCAAATAGTTCTGTAGATTTTCGAGGACAATACCGTTTGGTGCTGGTCGAAGGATCTGTCCCGCGATGTCAATGGCGACTGCCACCATGGAGCTGACTGATGAATTTGCTTTACATTTTCGATTTGAGATTGCTTGATGAGATGAAAGAAGTTGATCTTGGAAAAAACACGCTTTTCATTTTTATCGAGTTCAAAATTCAAATACTCTAGAATTACCCTATAATAAATAAATGATATAAATCCATGTGAAGTCAAGGCTAAGGGGGTGTCAATAATACACAAAATTCAAAACCTACATTCCTTGCACGTTATATAGCTTAAATTGTTGTGCCAGTTAGGTGATTTTAATTAAGTTAACTTCTCTACTTAGTTTGGATATATGCATGTGGTGTCCACCACGTAACGTTGTTTTAGGGTTATTATTTTACTTAGTGGTTATTGATAGTAGTTACTAATCAAGACTTTAGGAATCAGGCGATATATTAGGTCAAATATATTGTCTCCAATTATTTGTTGGATGGAATCACTTTTTGTTATGACCAAGTTAGAAATTTTTGTTTGGTAAACCAAGTTAGAAATTTTGTATTTCTCGTGGCAGTTTTTTCCTTTTCAGTTCTCGTGGTAAGCTTAAGAATATGAAATATACTATTGCGATGGTGATTCATCACAACCACACCATCGAGATGTCACATTCAACACTAAGGACGTGACCTCTATCGAAACAAACTTGTATAAATCCAATTGTAGTTAAAAAGTTTTGTTTGTTTATGAATTGTGGGCACTTCAATAGCCTATAAATAGTAATATACAAAAGTAATAATGCAAAGAAACTTAGATCTATCTAACTTTGATTGATACAGAATTGACATATTCAAATAAAATATAGATTTCATAATGATAATATATTCATCTATATGCCAGCAAACGTGTTGCACCATCATCTACGTTTCCTCTAAGAAGATAATAAACTGGATTCGAACAGATTTAGAATTCTCAACGTCATCAGAAATTAATATATCAAAGAAAGTGGATTTCGAACGAAATCTTTATTTTCGGCCACAGAATTGAAACCTCAATTATATTAAGGGTTATTACTTCACTAGAAACGTTTAAAGACATAATAATTTGCCGTTTTTCCTCTATAATTTTATCAAAATTTATCATGTCAAACCCTAATAAAACAATAATTTTGATGATGACATAACCAAAATCCTAATTAATTATAAATTTGGATCAAACTCTATTAAATTTTCAAATTCGAAGTCTACTCACTTGAAATTACAATAATAAAAAAGCTTATCTCTATTTATAGATACTATGCATTCGTTGACATAAAAAAAGTATAATATACAATCGTTGACATAAAAAACAAATACTATACAATCATTGAGAAACTGCCTATCCACTCAACCAATCAAAACAAAGTGTAATCGGAACACTTGGATTTTGAACCACAAGACTTGGTTATGCTTCTGTCACACATTTATGATTTCAACGAAGAT